GAAAGGCCACATTCTGTTGTGTTATCTGGTGGTGGCACACAGGTAGGTCAGACACAGGAGTGAATGAGCATGCAAGCCAGAGAAGGGGCTGGGGGTGAAGAGACCAGTTCTAGGGCCAGGGCTATAGCTCAGTGGCACAAGCACCTGCCTGACAAGTGCAAGGTCCTGAGTTCGATTCCCAGTACCAAAAAAAAAAAAAAAGACCAGTCTGGTCCTGACGCCCTCTGTATAGCAGCTGGGTGACCCCTCCTGGGACCAGTTTTTCACCTATGAAATGAAGAGAATTGAAAGTGAGGACATGGGGCAAGAAAGCACAAAAAGCATAGGGCTAAGAAAGAACTGTTATTCCTGCGAGGATGTCCCGCCACAGGAAATCACCTACCAGCATGGAGTCACCTAGGTTACTGCCAGCGGCTTTGGGCAGGAGTTTCACTACTGAAGGAAAAACAGGTCAGACTCAGGCTACGCGACCCCTTCTCCATTCCTGAGTCCGAGCTCCCTCCACCCTCTGGACTGGCTGCTCCCTGGAGGACGCCCTCCTGCCTTGGGCCACAGGCACAGGCTGCTGTGTAAGTTGGTGCTGTGGACCCTGTGAGGTTCTGGAATCATTCAGCTGGGCAGTGTCCTCCTTACGGAGGTCAGGGTGTAACTGTGCGGCAGTTACTGAATACCTCAGTTTGAAACAAACAGAAAAGATGGGAAATATTTGTGGCAAAAATAAGGAACTGGCAGATAAAACACAGACTTGGCCACCCAGGCCAATTCCTTAAGCTTCTTCCTGAGGCAAGGAGAGGCCCCACAGCCAGCAGCACCTCCGCAGCGAGGGGAGGGAGTCAGTGGCTGTGAAGAAACCAGCACGTAGGTCGCCTGCTCTGACACTCCCCAAACAGCAGTGTTAAGGCGCTGGGGCCACTGAGCCTCTGCTGCCTCCCTCCTGCTATACCTCTGCCAAGGTCGCTGTCATTTCTCACCCTCTCTGGTTCCAGGGGTTCTGCTGTCCTCACCCTGGATGTCCACCTGTGCAGCAGAGCCTGTGGTTGAGAGCTCCGTGCAGACCTGCTCCGCTGCTGGGTTCTCAGCCCAGCCTCGGCTTCTGCATCTGTAAAATGGGATGGTTTCAATTCCTACTTCATGAGAGTGCTTTGGTAACGAGGGGGAAACATAAAGAGCCCTTGGCCCAGTGACAACACACAGTGGCATTCACTCAGCCCCCACAGTCAGAAAGTACCAGGCTGGAGCGGGGAGGAACCGAAGGTAAATCCTGGGAGTGGCTGCTTAGGAGGGGACAGACGGTATGAGAGGGGAAAGAGGCCAGTGTCAAGTCCTGCAGGTGCAGGTGCAAACTGCAAAACCAGGGTAGACTTCAAATCTTGCCGGTAAGGGGTTCCAGGAGAGAGGTGGGGTTTACATGGACACACTGGGAAAGCGGGCCGAGGCCAGGCGAGTGGTGATTAACTGGGCTTCTGAAAGGGAGGGGCAGTGGACAGCTGGCCAAGACAGACCCAGAGGGAAGAGAAATAGGAGGCTGAGAAGGGAGGGCTTCGGAAGCAGGGAGAAGAGGGATTTGGGAGGACAGGCGTGGTGGATTGACAACCGGAGGTCCGTGTGTAGCACCCAGCTGAACTGAATCAGCGCGGTGCTGGGTGTGGAGGGCCCGCCTGAGGACTGTTGCCAGCAAAATAAAAGGAGAACTGGAGAGGAAGAGGTGGTGCTGTTGGTTCTCCCGGAGCAGCTTGTCATGCTGGCTTTCCTGATATGAATGAACTAGGCTGTTATCATCGAAGGTGCTCGGGACATTGCTGTCGTTGAGGATGGCTGTGGTTCTTTTCCAGGGAGCTCTGGTCCTCACTGTGAGCACTGCTGTGAGCCAGGGCTCTGGTGCAGATCCCTCAGCCTGCCGGCACAGATCCTTCATTCCACTGGTGCAGACTTTCTAGCTTCCACCATGGGCCTCTGGGCCTTCCCAGTGCAGATCCTTGTGATAGGCTTGCGTGAGACATTGTCGTGGGCTCTGGGCCTCCAGCTGGACTTGTCGGGGGCATTTCCATGGGCTCTAGGTCTGCAGCTGGACTCATACAGGACACTGCCGTGGGATCCAGCCCTCAGCTGGATGCTTTGGGTCTCTAGTGTGTGGACAGATCTCCCACACTCTTTTGCATTTGACTCTGGGTGAGTATTATAAAATAATCCTATAAATGACGTGTCCTGTATTAAATCCATTTCTTTGTAAACCCCAAACTACAACAACAAGGTACTGGGGCCCTTGGGCAGAAGTTACATTGGTGGTGGTGGGGATGGTCTAAGTTCTGAGTGGGTCTGAACAGTTTGGGGGCCTGGGAGGAGGAGCAGCTGGGGACGTGCTGTGCTGAGCAAGGGCCCAGTGTGGACAGAAAGGTGGGGTGGGTGGGCGGGAGGGGGAAGTCTGCGCCTGTCTCTTAACCTCCGGCGGCCCTGCTTTGTTTATGGATACAGGTATCCAAGTGGCTGGGGTACAGGGTGGTGCTGGATTCCAGCTGAGAGAGGAGGCCACGGTCACCCGGCAGAGGAGGGGACCAAGTCCATGGCCGCAGGACCGATTCGTAGGTAACCTCATATGCCCAGGCTGTCGGGTGACAGGTCCATGAGGTGGTCCGGAACCCAGCTCTCTGTGCGGTGATGCGTCTGGGGTGTAGCCCTGTGGATTGCTGCTGCTGCTGCTGCTGTCATGTGAGAAGTGTAGACCAAAGAGCTGGGCCAGTCCTTCCTGTCAGCCATCCAATACTGAGAGGAGCAAGGGGCAAGACCTCCAGGGAAGCAAAACAGCCCCCAACTGGAGGGACTCCAAGCTTTGGGCACAAACTGAGAGTGCTGTTGCCCACCTGCCCGCCTGGGCTTGAGGGGAACGGGCCTCTGAGGCCATTGCAGTGCCACAGTGTCACTGCCCCACACACGACACATGTTCCTACAGTCCTTGGTTCCATGACCTGGCTCCATCAAGAGAAGGCAATCTAGAGCAACAGTAACTGACAGTAACCCCCGCTCCAGCCCTAGCTGTGGGGCTCCCCCCACGCCACGGGCACTGGAGTGTGCACTCCTGCCTCCCAGGGTGTGCTGAGGGAGAGGTCATTTGTGTGATGAACTGCATCATAAAGCCACGTTTAAAGCAGACCGCAAAGCCAGGCATGGTGGCACACAGCTGTAACCCCCTGGCACTCTGGGAGGCTGAGGCAGGAGGATCACAAATTTGAACCTAGCCTCGGCAATTTAAAGAATTAGTGAGACCCCCGTCCCTGTCTCAGAATAAAAGAATCTAAAAAGAGCTGGGATGTAGCTCTGAGCAAAGGCCCTGGGTTCAATCTCTAGTACAAAATAAAAATAAAATAAAACAAAACAGAAGGCAAAGTGCTGTGTGGTGGGAAGGGCCTGACAGCGGCCTGGAGCACTGGGAATGACAGGATATGCCCCTCCCAGGCGCCCTGAGCTGCGGAGTCAGACAGACTGTGAGGCAGGCGGGCGATGTGCTCAGCCAGCCCTGCCAAGCTCATGGGGAACCTCTGCCCAAGGGTGGCACTGGGCAGGAGCTGCCAATCTGCCTGCCAGTTCTGGGCCCTCCCCCACAGGCAGGACCGGACAGCGAGGGTGCGCTATCTTTCCCAGACTTCTCACTTAGCAAGGGTCCCAAGATGCTCAGGTCCTACCCCTCCTCTCCTCCTTCCCAAGTCAATGGTCCAGAGGACAACTGCTGGTGACTGAGGATGAACCCAGCTGTAAATCTATACGTTTCCATGGGAACCAACACACTGGGCTTTTCTCTGGAAGCAAAAGTAGTGGGGTGGCCTTAAGAGACAGAACTAATCCCATGACTTAGCTGCCTGTTAGCGAGAGGTGAGGCATCTGTGCCGGGCCAGCTTTGGCTGACCTAGAAATCAAACCTAAGAAGATACATGGGACTAGGTTGTATCTGCAATCCCAGCGACTCAGGAGGCTGAGGAACAGCGATCTCTGGGGCCCAGGAGTTCAAGGCCAGCCTGGGCAACATAGTGGGACTTCATCTCAAAATAAAAAAAAAAGGGAGAGTCTAAGGACACTGATGCAGGATTTCTTTTAAGAAATCTAGCCGGGCGTGGTGGCGCACCCCTGTAATCCCAGCACTGGGGAGGCTGAGGCAGGAGGATCAGTTGCGAGTTGGAGACCAGCCTAGACTACAAAGTGAGCTCAAGGCCAGCCTGAACTGTATAGCGAGACCCTGTCTCAACAAGACAAAAAAAAAAAAAATCTATGTGCTAAATTCACAGGAAGAAAAAGCTGGTCATTGCCACACAGCTGGCAGCCCCAAGGGAGACAGCAAGTGAAACACTGTCAGAAACGGCATTCTGTGAGAAAAACTCCACACTCCTGCGGGGTTCTGGAAACACCAACCAACAGGCAGGAAGCACAGCATGACCACAAAGACACTTATAGAGCCTGTTTATTGCATAACTAGTAGGCACAAATTCCAAAACGAGTTTACAACACGTGAAGGGTCCAATACTTACAGCAACAGGATGTACAATAAAAGTGAGAAATGAGTACAGAATAATGAGTCACACGCATAAAACACATCTGAATAAAAGGCATCTCATTTTTCCTATGCAGCATCTTCTTTTGTAAGAACAAGGGTTACCTTCAACTAGGACAAGAAAGGAAAGAAAGTGGGCTGTCAGGAAGCTCACAGGGACTGCGGAGGATAAAAAAACGTGCAGCTGCACTCTTGATCTACGACTCACAGTGCCTGAGGACGGGGAAGCAGCTCCTGAGTTGTGCGTTTCTAGTTCCAATTTCATGAAATGCTGTCCTTGATCTTTGGGCCCAATGCATTGTTCTTTGGCAAGTAAGAACTATCTGGGCCGGGCATGGTGACGCACGCCTATAATCCCAGCACTTGGGAGGCTGAGGCAGGAGGACTGTTGCAAGTTCGAGGCCAGCCTGGGCTACAAAGTGAGCTCAAGACCAGCCTGAACTGCACAGTGAGACCTTGTCTCAAAAAGATTAAAAAAAAAAAAAAAAAAAAAGAACTATCTGCATTCCAACATGGAAGATGAGTTCAGTGCCTAGGAGCTCGGGTAGAGCTGCTTCCTTCTGTTTAGCCAAGTGCCAACTCATAAAGTGCACCTCTGTCCCATGAGTTTCAGGGAAGAAAGGGTGAAAAAACACATGACAGGCTGCAGATGTGGTTTGTGCAAGGCAACGAGATCTGTGTGCCAAAGGGGCTGGAACATGCATGCAGACAAGGCGCGACCTGCCAGGAGGAGCGGAGAACTCTGACACCAGCTCTCAGCCAAGGCTACGGAAATGTGCAGACATGCAGGCCTCCTAGTGCCTGTTGCTCTACCTGGGAACTCCTGTCTGAGTTTGGCACTGCAAGTTCACCGGGCAAACTCTCCTGTGGTGTTTTCACAGCTAGAAATATTTTGTTGGACCCTACATTCCTTGACTTTGTCCAGGGGCATAAAGACAATGTCCTCTGTTGCAGGCACTTGGGTGTTCTGCCGACAGCTCCCCTCCCAGAGCCTCTGTGGGGGTCTGTCTTCTCTGGGAGGCCAGGGGCATTGGCTCAGGACTGTCAATAGGCCTTTCCCAAGGACCCCGGGGAGCCTGACAGAGGGGTAGGTGTTCCCAAGGAAGAGGAGGGACAGCTGAATCCACGAAGCATGCAGATAAAGGTGTCAGGCAGTGCTTGAATTTAAGGTAAGGAGGCCCCTTCTAGAAGGCATCTCCTGGGCATCCAACAGGGATGTAGCACTTAGGGCTGTGCAGACACGTCAGTGGCTGAGTGCTGGAGATGTAGACCCTTGTGCCATGCTCCTCACAGTGTAGCAAGCCCAGAGCAGGCACACACCGTGACCTAATAAACAACGCCACGGGAGGGCTATGTTCAATGACAGTGTATGATCAACCTGTAAAGGTGTTCCCCAGTCAGGTCGGTGAAGACAAAGGCTTGCTCAGCACACGGGGAGTGACCTGTACTTTGATCATTTTGACTTCTCCACGAATGACTCTGTGGGACAGAATATACGGGTAAGAAGAGGGCTGATGGCAACTCAACAGAGGGTAGAGGGCAGTCTGCCAGTCCCGCTCAGGTGAACGCAGTATGGTCGGGAAGTGGGGCCCTTGCACTGCATAGCTCATAGGCCATGGGTGGGAGCTGTGAGAGGCAGCTTAGAGATCGAAGCTGTCCCGTGCAGTTTCCGCGGACATGCCAACATTTATAATTAGAGAGGTAGCACCAAAAGATCCAGATGTCCGGTGTCTCTTGAAAACAAAAAAAAATCAAAGTTTTGGCAACCCCAGTCCTAGTTTCCACTGGCAACATGAGTGGAGTGGGGAAACCTAACAGCTGGCCAGGGCTCCCCAGCTGGCCCTACTAGTGCCCTCTGCTGCGCACCAGGCTCACCTCACGGCGCATCGCTGGCTCCATCATGTCAGGGGCTGAGCCGCCTCCCACGAGACCCCTGCAACACGCAGGGCAGGAATGTGCTCTAACAGCACAAGAAAGGGCTTCTGAGTCATGTAAGACACAGCCTCAGCATGTTCTAGATTTTGACCTCTACTCTTTCAGAGCTTTGGGAGCGTTACGGTCAGGTAGGCACATTCTTCATGGAGTTCTTGAAAGAACTCTCATATCTAATTGCCAAGTATCAGCAAGGTAAGGGGGAAAAACTAAGACGACTGCTTACATCTTACCTTAGAAGTCCTTACAGATGACAGGACACGCGAAGCAGCTCAGGAGGAAGCTGTCAGTGGTTTAAGGAGTAACTGAGTTTTGGAGGAGGGGTACAATGCAATGTCAGTTCATGGCAGTGGTACCTGAATGGGTGGTACAGAATCAGTTATGGCTTGTTAGACTGATGCTTCTCTTTCCGCGTGTTCTAAATAAACTGCCCAGCTCAGCGGGAAAGGCAGAGTGCTTGACAATGGGTGACGGATGACAGGTATGCTCCTACCCTGAACCGTAAGTGGGACACATGTGGAGCGAGAATCTTTATCTGACTCTATGGAGACTTCAAGATGACAGGAAGATAGAAGCAGAAAATCATGATAAAAAACAGAACATTTAACATGATTCATACTATTAGAAATGGAACAATTTAGTATTTCCTCCGAGAGAGGTTGTTACACTCTTTTTTTAGAAAATGCGAAGTCCTTTCTCTGCATGCATGCTCGGAGATACCCCAAACTTAAGAGATTTTGCAGGCTGAAAAACTGACTTATTGCACAATGCTTCACAGGGAACAGGTAATGTTGATTTTTTTTTTTTTTAAAAACCAACTCTCTCAAGAAAATGTTTTACTAAAATATCTCCTTTACACTTTTACCCATAGACAGGAAGTTTTAAGGGATGGAAAAGGCTTAACAAATTCTGAGCAATGGAACTACTTTGGGTGCATACGGTCATGACCTCAACAGTTGCAGACAACACAACAGGACATCAGAAACTAAACCGGTAAACAGGCACAAAATAAGGCAAGTCGGTTAAATTAATAGTCAAAAATTTGTTAGAAAACATGCAAAAATAATACTGAGTTTTCTTTTAAAAAGTTTTAAATTGTCATTCAATGTTTTTGTAAAAATCTGAAGAGTTCCGTGTCTAAATTTGCAATCAGACTTTAAAAAGCCTAAAAAATAGAAGGGATAGCGCCCCGCGGCTCAGTTGTTGTTCTCTTTGGTAGTGATGGTGACCAGCTGCTTGGCGGCCTTGGCGATGTCATACGCGCACTGGATGACCTGCTGTGTGACCAGCTGGACGTCGGTGGGTGAGCCGGAGTCCCCCGGGAGGGCCTTCTTGCACTCTGACTGCAGCAGATAGGCACTGGACGTCAGTAAACGAAGGGAAGTCCTCACCATGTCAGACTTGGGTTTCTAAACACAAACACACAGCTGTCCGTCACGGGCTGCAAGCTGGCCACCCACCAGCAAGGGAAAGCGTGCTCCTGAAAACAATTCGAGTTGTTTTACATAGCCAGAGGCATTTCTGTTTCACATGTTTTCAACAGGGGTGCTTTAACCACAGAGTACTCTGCAGCCCACGGTATAAGAGATGTGGAGATGCTCTGACTTGAAGGGTGAAGTACATGCAGGATAGTTCAGTACTGTGTGCTATTTATTTGGGGGTAGTTTTCTTTTTTTTTTTGGAACTGGGAATCGAACTCATGACCTCAGGTTTGCCAAGCAAGCGCTTATGCCGCTGAGCTATATTCCCAGCCCCTGGGGGTAGTTTTAAAAAATACTAACCCTTGCCAGGAGTGGTGGCACATGCCTGTAATCCCAGTACTCAGGAGGCTGAGGCAGGAGGATTATTGAGACCAGCCTGGGCTACAAAGTAAACTCAGGCCAGCCTGAATTGCATAGTGAGACCCTGTCTCAAAAAGACAAAAAAAAAACCCCAAAAAACAAAAATACTAACCCATGTAGGTTATATATTTCATATATTTTACATTTTGCCATAAGCATTTAAAGTTTATTAAATTTTTTTTTTTTTTTTTTTGGTACCGGGAATTGAACTCAGGACCTTGTCCTTGCCAGGCAGGCACTTGGTTATACATTTCGGATAAAATTTCATTCTATTAATGTTTTGTCTTTTAGTATTTGGCTTCTATATCCCTGTCTTATTATAATGATTTTCTAGGTTTCAGATAGGGTCTCACTATGTAGACCAGACACGAGCCACCTCTCCTGGCCTTCCTTTTCTTAGTAAAGTAGAACAGAAATATTGCCATGCCCTATATGATTGTACATTTAAAATTATGTGCTATAAACAGTTAATATAAAGGTCATAAAGAAATTTCTTGTTCATGTAAAAGGATCTAAGAAAGTGAGTAGGAGGTGACTTACTTTGGGGAATAGTAAGGCCATTTCTGTAACAGCTACATGTATCCTCTCTGAGCAGGGAATATAACTGCAAAATAATGAAGAGGTTATTCAAAGACAGTCAACACGATTGCAAGGCATTCTTTTAATGAAGGGGCCGAGGCTGCAGTCTGCCCACCATGTGTCTCACACCAATAGAAGGCGCACAGTTATAAAGCAGGGTCTCCATTCCTTCCTGAAGTTCAACCTGGTAAAAACAATCTCCATACATGAAATGTGCCAACATTTGCTATTAACTGGGTGAGGCCACAAAACAGTATATAGACATCCCCACCTCCTCAAATTGGTCATTTGTGTCTCACAGATTCCATCTCCTTAATTTCCAGAAAGAAAAACAAGGATTTCCATGCCAAAGTCCATGAAAGTAAAAAATGAAGGACTGAAAACATTCCTTGAAATTGTGATTGAAATCTACACTTATTGGGCTGGGGATTTAGCTCAGCAGCACAACGCCTACCTGGCAAGCGCAACGTTGTCGTGAGTTCGATTCCTGGTACCAGAAAACAAAACAAAACAAAAAAAGAAATCTACGCTTATTTATTTTTTGCAATCTACACTTTCAACACCTATGTGTCATTGCACCAATGGACATGTCTAAATTCCTTTCATTCAGTTCATGTGAATTGTTGGGTGTGCTCGCTTCTGTGGCACATATACATGTGAACTGCTGGGGAATCAAAATCTTTGCTTGTGTAAGCAGGGAACACTGAGGTCTGATTCCCATATTCATTCAGGCACTTAGGTACTTTGTCACAAAGCCACCATATGCGTGCTGGTAAGGAGATGCCTAATTGCTGTCAGCACCTTCTTTCATGTTGATGAGCTTTAAGAAAACAAGCCCATTAAACACTTCCTTCTGTGTCCCACATGGTGGCACACACCTGTAATCCAGCACTCGGGAGGCTGAGGCAGGAGGATTGTTGCGAGTTCCAGGCCAGCCTGGGCTACCAAGTGTGCTCAAGGCCAGCCTGTACTGCATAGTAAGACCCTGTCTCAAAAAGACAAGAAAAGAAATCCTTCCTTTCAGGGGCCCACATGTGACACCATGTTTACAGAAACCAAATTAACATCTCTACGGCTCTGTGAGGTTGGACTATCATCACATCCATTTTTCAAATGAGAAAACTGGGGCTGGGGATTTAGCTTGGGCTGGGAATTGAGCTCAGTGGCACAGCGCCTGCCTGGCAAGCGCGAGGTTGTGAGTTTGATTCTTGGTACCGGAAAACAAACAAACAAACTGGCAAATGAGAAAACTGACCCAGAGAAGACATGCCTGGGTCTGAAAAATGTAAGAGGATGGCTGAGCTTTAAGGCAGTGGCCACAGATTTACATCTCTCTTTATAGCAAACCTCTTTCCTCTCAGGAGTGGTCATCTGGCTGCCTGTGATGGGAAAGGGCAGAAGTAAGATTGGTTTTATCCAGGATTCCTATTCTTAGTGCTCTGACAAATGACGGGTGAGGCAAGTTTCCTCTTCCTTAAAAATGTTAGCTTTTCACGCTGGGAGTATGCAGACAAAAACAGACAGACAAAGACAGCTGGGCAGGGGGTGTGCCTCAGGAGTAGAGCATATGCTCAGCATGAGTAAGGCATTTAATCCCCAGCACCATAAAAAACACAATCAGAGGATGATATCAAGCAACAGTTCTTAGACACAACATTGCTGCCGAGCCTGGGCTTTGTATTCAGGACTAACCTACAGTCCAGGACGTGGGAAAGCAGGAAAAACACTCTTGGGGCAGTCTGTAGCATGGCAGGAAATACTGCTGTGCACACTGTAGGTTTGCCCCAGCACGAGAACCCATGTGGTTGTGTTTTAAATTTTTCCTTCTAAGATCCTGAACCAAATGCCACTCAGCATCCATTAGACTTAATGCTCTCAAGGGACATTCGTATCCCATTTTTTCAACTATGAAGTTGGATGCTGAATAAAGATTACCATTAGCAATTGCTGTTCTTCATCTTTGTAAGAAACTCAGTATCAAAATTATTTTACTACTGCCTACATTTTAATTAAGTCATTACATTTCAAGAAAATGGTTTATAATTATCTAAAAATGCCATCCAATGGGAAATCCTTTTACCTTTGTGAGCAATTAGATCCCTATATGACACACTAACCCGAAATGTCAATGCCCAAGAAGCAACTTACAGACAGGAAGGCACAGAAGGCACCTAGTCACACAGACTCTCGTGAAGAGGGAAGGACCGAGTTCCCAGCAACCACTTCTTCCTATTAATATCACAGCAGCTGAGAGCCGTGCCCGAGAGTTTCACGCTGTATTTTGTTTTGCCGGTTACCGTTTCATTTTGAGAAATACAACTCACCCTTTCTCCACTAGATAGAGAAAGCATTTTTCCTAAAGCCATCTCTTCAAAGTTCACTCCTTATAAACTATTTTGGGAAGTCTTGGATAAGCAAAAAAGGAAAGCATGTGCACGCGGAGGTCTCCTCCTCTGTCAGAGGGAGCTTGTGTCCACAACTTCAAGTTGGCTCCCGTCCTCAAATACAGCTTTTGTGTCTAATACGCTGACATCCCCGAAGCAAGAAGGGGTGAGGCAGGCGAGGCAGCGGGGCTGCAGGAAGGTCAGGGACTGAGGGGGCTTTCTGGGCTCAGGGAACCAGGACCAAGCCTTGAAGTGCCTGCACGGACTACAGTCTACCTAGGGTGAACTTGAGCAACAGCTCAGCAAAACTAGAAAACAAGAAAAACAGGCAAGGCTTTCTTTAGTACAATGCAAGGTTATAAATGAAAGCACCTTGGATGTACAAGTAAGCAGAGATTCTAACAGAACTTGAACAGTTTATAAAATATAAATTCCCTAGGCCAATTCTGGTTAAAACCGAAAGCATACGCTAGTGATTAAAATCTCTGCATCATTCCCTCATGGTCTTAAAGAAATAGATCATAAAAATGTGTTAAGTGGATTTTTACATCTTGAAAAAAAGAGTCTTTCCAAGTTGAACCACACACCGTACTGCAATCTTTCAAGCCACCGAGAGCCTCAGGACAGATTTTTGTATTTTCGACCACTATCAAAGATAGCAATGCAGTGTGAGCACATTTTCAGTTTGGAATACCAGCACTGAACTGGCAGAAAGGAAAATCGGAACACACTGATAGATGGGGTGGGGAGCATACAGGAAGGAGTTATTCTTGCATCAAGATTACTCAAAATGCTGCCAAAACTACTGTGGAATGCCGCAGGGCACTTCGCTCTGCACAGTAAGATATGGGTCACCCGCTGCCAGGACTGTGGCCCTGGCTGAAGGTACTATAGGTGCTTACAAGACGTGCACTGCGAGAGGCTTGGCAGAAAGAGAATGCCTAGGAGCTAAGAAGGAAAACAGCCACAAACTTTCCGCAAAAGGAGCCTGTGGAATTGTATAGATTCTTCTTTTCCTTGAGGACTTCCCGTTGTCCATCCATGAGGACTAGTTTTTATCTCTCAAGGAACACACAGTATTCCTCTTCTCTATGGCAGGAAATTATACTGGGGCAAATCAGAGTGGTAAAAATAAGAAAAAAGATACAGATGGTACAATAGATTTTTTTTTGGTGCCAGGAATTGAACTCAGGGCCCTGAGCTTACCAGGCAGGCGCTGTGCCGCTGAGCTACAACCCCAGCCCAAAAGCTACACATGGAAGGATGGCACAGCAGCGTCAGGAATAGAGAGAACTCCAGGCATGGATGCATTTTTTTTCCCCACTTGTGGACCTGCAGATTGAAGCCAGGGCCTCATCCATGCTAGACAAGCTTTCCTACCGCTGAGCTGCTTCCTCAGCTCTTCCCATCTTGAGGCAGGGTCTCAAAAAGCTGCTAACTTGCCCAGGCTGGGCTTGAACCTAGGATCGTCCTGCTGCAGTATCCCGAGCAGCTGGGATTGCAAACACACACCACAGTACTGGGCACAGCTGCATCTTTACGAAGCAGAGTGTGGAGGCAAGAAAGAAAGCAGTACTGTGTTCCTAGAAGGCCTTCGGTCTGTGCACAGGGTATGAGCTTCTCCCTGAGGTCCTCAGCTTTGCTGACCTAATGTGTGGCGTTATTCTTGGCCACGGACAATTGCTGTTTTCTCAAACCCAAAGGGTGATAGCAAACAATGTTTTATGAGTGTGTCTAGGTCTGGCCCACCGTGGGAAATCAGGACATCCTGCAGAACATTGCACAACTTACCAGAATTCTCAGAGAACAATGGATCAGTACAGCAAGATTCAGTCTCTTCCTTCCAGTAAGAAATCACTGTGGGCTATGCTTCTGCTCCAAGGGTCAGGCTCTCCCTGCACCACTGAGAATCTTAGAAGTTTATACACGCATGCTTGCACATACACACAAGGGAGGCAGGTAAGAAATAAGAAATCGGGCTCCTCTTAGAATGTCTTCTGTCTCGGTAACCATATCCCTAGCAGAGGGCAACTCTGGCAGCAGCAGTGGCCAGAATCGCCCACAGGCTGTGAGGAAGTTTCTTTCCCTCTTTGCTGAGAATTAGGACTGTCACTGCCCCAAATACACTGCAGTTTTATTAGGCACATTTATTTCAGAGAGCTTCCAAACACAATGGAGAAAAATAAATATATTATGTAAAAATCCCAAAGAAAATCTAACTTGTGTGTTTGTTTTTCAGTTTTCATCTACCTAAAAGCCAGCAAATTAGAAACAAGTCCCACTCAGAACTTGAGCAGTGTCCCTGTTGGAGCATGAATATATGTTCTCCCAGCATAGGACCACAGCCCCTTACCTGTCATGTTTATTTTCCTGGGCTGCTCTTAAGAGCTCCTGTATGTTTTTGGTGATCTGTTCCGTCTTCCGGATGACGTCCTCGGTGCTGGGGAGCGTGGGGCTCGGTGATGCGTGGGGTTCTGTCGCATCTGATACTAAGCTATCCACTGGCCACACCATGCTCCTCTGCCTGCCCTTTCGGCCTGACCTGTGAGCAGTAAAGAAGTGGGTGAGGATGACGGTGCTGGTGGCTGCTTTAGTCTCTAGGAGTTCCATCTGCACTGGCCGAACACACAGCAAGCTGGTTTTGCGGTTTCCCTTATCCTGTCTAGCAGGAAACTCACGGCAAGGCCCTGCCTCACCAGCTGGCAGCTACAGCACACCCAGAGGCTGTCTCCTTCTACCCTGGGGCTGGAAGTTAGGGCTCTCATAGAAAGGGTGCGGAGGGGAAGGGGAAGAACTGAAGAGCGTAGGGTGTGGCATTCTAAAGCCAGCTCAAATGGAGATAACCCCGTGGGGATACAAATGGAGAATGTAATCTAACGTCAACTTCACTGTGAAGTAAAATACTGATTTTAAGTGCAGTGTGAAGGCCGAGAAACACATCTAACATGCCGGTAAAAGGACAAAAAGCCACATGGGAATAACGTGGTGAGTTGAGAATGAAGGTAAACTACAAACATACGCTTGAACGTTTTAAGATCTTATAGATCTGAAAATAGGGTCAAGGGCTGTAGGTGCCACGGCCTGCCAGGTCCCTCCCAGCACACCCTTCCCACAGAGGTACCCCATGTCTTCTGGCTCCATGTCATTGGGCGTGTTGTCATAGTCACTCTCAGGGGTGCTGTTCTGTTTCTCTAGCCTGGAAGCCTACAAGCAAGAGAAGGGAACCACGTTAGTTTAGAGCATAAGACGCTTCTTCAGGGTCCTCATAGGGAAGCATTAACTGTTAGGCACCCAGATCTCATTTGGGGTAGGAGCCAATCCTTTACTGCAAATTTAGTAAAAGATGAACAGTGGATCCAGACAATAGTTTCTTTCTTTCAGCACTGTTTTCTTTTGAGCTTAGTGGCCATAAACAGATCCTTGGTACCAATTAAGAAACCAACAAGACATGGAAGGCTGTCTCATTTAGTTCTCAAAAGAATATGGAATTTAAATAAGTAAGCACACATGTAGCTGGGCATGGTGGTATATGCCGGTGATCCCAGCCTTTCAGTAGGCTGAAGCAGGAGGATCACAAATTTAAGGCCAGCTTAGGCAACAGCAAAACCCTGTCACAAAGTAAAAAAAAATTTTTTTTTGATACCGGGAATCGAACTCAGGACCTTGCATTTACCAGGTAGGCGCTTGAACTGCTGAGCTATATCCCCAATTCAAAGTAAAAATTTTTAAAAAGGTGCTGGGAATGTAGTTCAGTGGCAGAGAGCTTGCCAAGCATGTGCAAGGCTGAGTTCAACCCCCAGTATGGGGAAGGGGGCGCTCAGCAGACACCCCAGCGCTTATGTGACCATGATATTCAGTGCTGAAAGCTACCTGCAGATTACCTGAATTAATTCCAGATGAGAAAATGAAAGGCCAAAAAAGCTAGGTGTCCACCTCAGGACACATCTGTAGAAAAAGAGGCCAAGAACCCAGACCCCTGTCTCCTCTACAGGTATCTCCAGTGTTCCACAGCTGCCTGGGCCTGGATGACTGCTGCCATTCAAGGCCTCAGAAGAGCAGTGGCTCTTTGAGAACTGCTTCAGAGATGGCTCTTGAGAAACACCAGGAAAAAACTTACAGTATTAGTGTATAGCCATATGTTGTTTGTGAACCAAAATGGATTAACCTAGATTGAAACCACTTGTATCTGCTTCCAAAAATATCTATCTCTTATAAAAATAGGATCTGGATACAATGTGGAGATTTTAAAATGGGATCTGGTACAACTGTGGAGATTTTAAAAATATGAAATAGATGTAAATGATGAGTCCTAAAAACGTTTTGAGCAAATGGCAGCACTGCTAAATACAGGGCCTCCCAGGGTAGCAAAATGTGAAGGGGACCACATTCCTTTTAATGGAACTCTGTTAGGCTGGGCTGGGTGGTGCAGGTCTGCAATCCCAGCACTTGGGAGGCTGAGGCAGGAGGATCGCCACGGGTTCAAGGCCAGCCTGGGCTCCATAGTGAGTTCAAGGCCTGTCTGAACTACACAGTGAGACCCTGTCTCCAAAAAAAAAAAAAGCATGAAGAGGATTATGTCAGCTTTGGAATGTTTAGTGAAAACTATTTCCTCTCAGTATCTATTTTATACATAATGTTTTGAAAATTTCTTTAGAATAAAAATTGGTGTAAGTGGATTCAAAACCTACACTGACTACCTTATAAAATAGGAGAGCTATTTCTAGCTCTATACCTTGAATTTAATGCAACTTAATCAAAACACGTGACTAAGGACTTTTACCGATGCTGTAATACAATGAGGCTAAGCATGTAACTCTAAGTTAAGAGCTCTGTCTAAAAGCATGGAGACATTTCAGTTTTACCCAGAATGGCTACTTCAGAGCAGTCAGTGGAAAGACAACTACAGAAGGTCTGATTATTTGCTTCTTACCGATAACACTGATCAGCCAGGTGGGGGCGCCTCCTCAGTCACACAACATTTTGCTTCCTGTCCCCACAGCCTCACACTTTCCCTCTTCTAGGTAAATACTGTCTGCTGAGGCCCTCCCCATTTGCCCCATTTTCTTTTGTCTTTTTGAGACAGGGTCTCACTATGCAGTTCACAGTGGCCTTGGGCTCACTTTGTAGCCCTGGCTGGTCTCGAACTTGCAATGATCCTCCTGCCTCAGCCTCCCCAGTGCTGGGATTACAGGTGTGCACCACCACGCCCGGCCAGCCCTCCCCATTTGCTACTTAGATGTGCTACTTAGTTCTTCCTCACCCTACGAGAAGATTCTTGCTCTGGGATCCTAAAACTCAATGTGAATTCTTACCTTATCCAGTCAAATTCATCTCGCAAATGATTGAAAGCATTGGGTGAGGGCCCTCTGGGGAGTCTATAAAGCTAAATTCTATAAAATGTTTTTTTCTTCCTCCAGTGCTGAGGCTCAAGCTCATCGCTTTTGTACACTAGGCAAGTTCTTTACCAAGAAACTATGTCCCAGCCCAGCTACAATTTTAAGATCCCTTCATTTGCATCTCCTACCTATAAGTAGTTCTGCTTCACTTGCTGCCCGATTTTGATCTGGCTTTATGAGTGAATCAGTGGGCTGTTGGCCAGCGAAAGACTGGACAGAAGACCAAAGGTGGGGACCATATCCACTGCCACGAAGTCAGGATCATGCAGATATCATCTCAGAAAACCAAAGCACGCCCTCCCCAGCCCTTCTTACCTTTCACAGGGAATACGTGACTAACCTTTACATTTATTTCCTTTGTGTACAAACACACATAAATAGTAAAATAATTGCACTTAAATAATTATACTGGAAAGTTCATGCAGAGTTGCTCCACTGGGGGGAAAATCTAGAAAACAGATTTAAACCTAGGAAATTCCACAATTTTATAATGAGTATTTTCTCCTACTTTGATATAATTTTGGTAATTACAAATCAAGTGTATTACTACAACGATAAAAAAAAAATTACCAAGTTTCACTTAAACATTTTAGAAGAGTAATGACTCACATGCCCACAAGTGCTCAGGAAATGTTCCTCAAGGACAGCCACCACCCCCCGGAGAATCAGCTACTTACACATTAAGTCCCACACTGATGTCAACAGAAGCACACACAATTTCAATGGAGCCCGTGTTTGATTTTATGAAAATTATTGTGAACATGCAGAGCCAAGAGCTACTGGTTAAAAGTGCTGCTCTCAAAGCTGTTAATAGAAAAGTTATTGTATAGCTGGTGCTGGTTCAGGTTGTTTGATAGTTTTGCCGTTTCTCTGAATACAGACATGCCAATAAAAAATTTAAAACCATGATGGAGTGTTGGGAAGGCCACGATGATCAGTTTAAATGACTCTACTGTCCATTTTGTACACAACTATCTGATCAGCAAGCAGTCCTTTTTTTTTTTCTTGGTCTTTTTGAGACAGGGTCTCGCTATGCAGGTCAGGCTGGCCTTGAGCTCACTTTGTAGCCCAGGCTGGTCTCGAACTCGCCATGATCCTCCTGCCTCAGCCTCCTGAGTGCTGGGATTACAGGCGTGCACCACCACGCTGGGTGCAGCAAGCAGTCCTTGAAACACTTTTTGAAGCTATTTAAAATTTTTTTTAAAAATGCACAGGGGACAAAAGAGGTGTATTTGATTCTTAGTAACAAAATTTCCAATGAGATATTTCATTACTATTTTGCTGTCCTTAGTTTTACTGGAATGAAAATTTTATAGGTCAATGTTAGTTTTTTGTTTGTTTGGTTTTGGTGCTGGGGAGTGAACCCAGGGCCCATGGCAAGTGCTCTACCACTAAGCTACATTCTCAGCCCTAATTTCAGAAGACTTTAAGTACTATATATCAAGAACTGTGTTTAACAAACTATTTCAAAATGCAGTAAAAAATCCAAAGGCCTTAGCAACTCATATGCCCCTGGCAATGGGACAGAAGAAACCTCTATCATTCCTAGGTGTGGAGGGAATGGACAATGGCCCAGTGCAGATCCCATCCTGTCTGGAAAGGTGGTCCCTCACCCATGGCACCTTCTCTTCTCTCACCTTTATTATACTACCCTTTATTAAAAAAAAGTTGAGCCAGAACTGGGCTGTATCACTGAAAGCTCTAAAAGGCTCGCCATCACTTTCTCAGGGCATGGAAGTATTCATTTATTTACTGATGGTGTCTTCTGGAGCTGGGGCCAACCTCCTTAAAACCTTAGGACCTTTTAACTGACTTACCAAAAGACTGGGCATGTGGTGCTTAATAAATATGAGTTGCCTGACTACTCCCAAGGAGCTTGCGAGGGTAAATTACACACCAGCAAGTGGGGTGTGACCAAGCAAGTGAAAGGCTTTATGCTCACAGCTCCCTGTACTCCTCGACTGCTGCTAAGTGTTACAGTTCTCATTCAGGATACCAGGTCTCTAAAGCCTTGGCTTGGCAAGTACAGTGCTGACATAAACATGTTAGGTTTTCAAAATTTTGTTTTTGTCTTTTTGAGACAGGGTCTCGCTATGCAGTTCAGGCTGGCCTTGAGCTCACTTTGGAGCCCAGGCTGCTCTCGAACTCACAATGATCCTCCTGCCTCAGCTTCCCAAGTGCTGGGATTACAGGCATGCACCACCATGCCCGGCCTTGTCAGGTTTTTTTTTTTTCAAAGGCATAATGTTTTTATGCTAGTCCAAATACAAGTTTTAACATGATAGTAGCTCTAAACAAACTGAACAGATTTGCCCTATTACCAATATCTAACCAGCAGCCAGCTAATTTTATGATTGTTTAGAAAGACAGTGTAGTATACTTAGGACAAATGTTACAAGGGGATCTGTGATCTTTGTTAAATATACAATGAAAATGAGTACTGTGGAGTTAGACGAAAGGGAGATCGCCTCTGCAGGTACATGTGCGTGTGCACACGAGCGTGCGCATCTGCTGTGCTGTGAGAAACCCGGAGGGAAGCGCTGCCTCATGCAGGATGGAGCGCAGTTAGCAAGGACAGGGACAGGAGGGCCAGCACAAAGCGCCCAGGAGCACTGCCCCTCCTCCAGAGCAGACCATTCGGAGTGTACTTAACCCTTCGGGTGGTTTCTTCCCTCGACCAGCAAAGTGTGGAGGGGAAGGAAGGCAGAGATGAAGAGGAGGTCACAAGTGCACTCCTCCCGATCTGGAAGGGGAAAGAGAAACACACTCGGGAAAGCACAAAACAAACAAAACCCTGACCACTCGCCCTGGCTTCAGGAAGAGAATCCTAGAGAACAACATACTACGCAAGGCGAGTCCTGAAATCTCAGTGACAGCTGGTAACCGGTGTCATTTATCCCTTGTGACATTTCCCCCTCGGTGAAACACCTGGAAATGACTCCGAATTTAGTAAAGGCTACTTTTCCATATGGGAAAAGACAACACATAGGCTATGTGTCCAGTTTGCCAATAGTTATTTTTAATGGGTAGCCTAAAATAAATACTTATTTTTCAATCAGTGATTGTATGAAATGAGAAATGAGAAAGTATACACATGATTATTGGTTGGTACACCCAGGACTCTAATCTTCAGTACTATAATTACAGAACTTTTGCAATATGACATCCTGACATTCTTTTCTAAAATAAAATGTACACTGTGAAAAGGTGCTTCTTCTAAATTTTGTTTTTAGCTATACAAAGATAAGATTCTTCAGTTACTCCAACATTTCCATTACATCAAATGCATCAAATCAAATTACCCTTAGAGTGTTAACCCCAATTTAAAGAAAAGCTGAAATACTGGGCATATAATAATAGTGCAGTTTTACCACTCTGAAATTTGACAGAATTAATGTTTAATGTAAGAGGCCTTATCTTTTACTTTGCATTTTTGAAGCTCCTATACAATTTAACTGAGCAACTTTTTGATGCTCCAAATGAAAAATAGTACTCTCTGAACAAAGCATCACATAAAGAAGTTTAAAATTTTATAACATTTTGTCAAAACATAGATTTTTATAGTAAATTAATAAAAAGGACATACAATATTTGAAAACTTCATAACATAATCCTTATACCACTGTAAAAATAAGATTGTTAGAACTCTATTACAGAACACAGTCTTTGGAATTTAACCCTCGAAAGGTGGATGTAGCATTCTTCCTCTTCAGTTCTGGGAGATAACTAAGCCCAGCCTCCACTAGGGAGGAGGGGTAGAGGAGGCAGAGGCTGAGCCCTGCAGGCACACAGCACAGCGGACAAAGCCTTCTGGACTTGCCTAAGTATCGGGCCACAGATGTCACCTGCCCATATTCAAGCGGCAAAGAGGCACCTGATGATAAGGGTTTCAGTTTGTAAAAAGCCCTGTCTATTTCAAAGATGACACTTATGCAGTGACATTTATAATTTGCTTCTGCTTTTGGAAATGGGGAAAAATGGGAACTTTGCACAAATTGTCCAACAGGGGCTGGCTGGGAAATAGCACATGCAAATGGGTGGGGGTGTCACTGGGGGAAAGAACGGGGGAGTAGAAGTTGAGTAAGAGCCAGAATCTCCCAGTGGGCTGGAAGATGTTCCATCCATGGCCCCGTGTGCTTGTGAGAACATCGCAAACATCTGTGAACACGTTAACAGAGCAAACACACGGCAATGCTCAGAGCCCAGTCTGGCAAAGCAGAGGCACAGTAGTTTGCGGATTCAGAGGAGGGAACAGAGTGGTCAGGCTGCAGAGAGCAAACGGCAAAAGCACCGGTGGTGTTACTTACGTGCGTAGGGAAGGGCTGCAGTCTCGTCCTGCTCTCCTCCGGGTGGTTCGCTTCTCCCATTGGGAGATACGCTTTCTGACCTGATCCCGTCTCGTACATGGACATGGGCCTACTGCCCCGGGCAGATGGACGTCGCTTTAAGGAAGAGTGGTTGGCAGTTTCTGGGTACTCAGAACCAGTTTGCACCTGATATACATTGGTTGTGGCCTGTTTCCTGAGGCTGGAATTCTCACTCTGGAGTGTTTGAAGCTGAAAGAAATGTTTGGCAGTGGGACAGTGTTTTTCCATAGCAAGCAGACAAGGCAAACACCAAGAAAACAAATACAACTACCGGCTTTAAACAGTAAGAATGACAGTAGCTAGCTGTGTTAATAGTAAAGCATCTAAGAAAAAGTCTCCTCTCTGAAATGAGTGACTCATTTTATCACAACTCACTTTACCACAAAGGATAATTTAATAATTTAATTTCTGCATGTGGGAAAGTTGCAGTCTTGACTATGCATTTATTTATTTATTTGGTACCAGGAATCGAACTCAGGACCTTGCGCTTGCCAGGCAGGCGCTTGTGCCGCTGAGCTATATCCCTGGCCCTTGACTATTTATTGACTGATTTATTATTTTTGTTTTTTTCCACTTTTTAAAAACTAAATGTCCATTTAAGTTCTGTCATGGTGGGGTGGGGAAATGTCTGCAGACAAGCTGTACTCAGGATTATTCTCAAGCAAATGCTTGAGACCATTAAAACATCATGAATAACTTGATTTTCAAATGAGCCCTGGGCAATTTGCAAATGCCAAAAGTGACAGCAGACACCATGGAAGCAGCACAAAGATAACTAGAGTTGCTTTTGCAAAGCAAGAAAAACAGTGAGGTTCAGCTTATCAAGTATTGGATCAGGTGTTGATTTCCAAAAAGGCAACAAAAAATTATGATCAATATGATTTTATTACATAATACTTCTGATATTCCAAACAGTTCGGCAGTTTTGAAAAAAAATAAGAGGGAATTAAATCCTAGTAAATTTTCTGTATTGACATATCACAAAGAAAGCTGGAAAGCCATTCAACTATGCTAGCATCTTCACATGAAGGAATGTTCCACGTAGCAAACCTGCTTCCCTCTGGTGATCTTTCAGTCAGGGCTGGAGTATTTGGCCTTTCTCTCCTTTGGTTTTGTCACCCAGAAAGCATGAACACGGTGGTACCGGCTCTGAACTCGCTAATCTGCCTGCTCTACCCATTTTAGCTAGACACTGCCACTGGAGACCCTGAGCGCTCTTTCCATTCTGCACAGGCAGGCTCCTTCAAGGTTAAAAGATCAGAAAGGAATCGTGGGATCTTTTAAGCATCTGGCAGTTTAAACCCAAGTAACTGCGTCCATTCTGAACACGGTCCTTCTCTCTGGTGCGCCTTCATCTTCCGTGACAGTTTTATAAGCTGGGTGCGGTCTTAGTTCAGCTGTCTACTCTCTCAGAGACTGTGAACTCTGATCAGATTCCCCTCCAGTGCCAGGGTTTAAGTTCACAAGCAACCGTGTCTGCACCAGGAGCTCCTTACTTTTCCAATAGCAAACCCATGCACGGTTAGGAGTTATTTTCAATTTTTATTTAGAAAGCACCGATCTGTGAAAAATACACCAATAGTGGCTGTTCCTCTTCATTAATTAGCATCCTTTTCAAGCAACTGTTAAATGTGAAAGATCAGATATAAATCATGCTACTTAGTCAACTTTATAAAGAAACAAATCATTACCCAGCTTTGAAATAAAATCAATACATCTTTGCTACATAAACAAATCCACCTCTTCTTATTACGAGTGCCAAACCTCTGAAAGTGTGGGGCCCGGGGATTTAGCTCCGTGGTGCAGTGCCTTCCTGGCATGCGTGAAGTCCTGAGTTCGATTCTCCACCCCTCCAAAAAAGAAAGTGTGGCTTCCTGACTCTTCCACAGGAAGACCACACCTCATCTTCTCAAAGGGCGAGCTGCGAAGAGGGACAGGCTGCCTCTATGCCACAAAGGCTTTCAGGATACAGCTTGAATCTGTAACCCCTTTCCAAAGAGAGACAGCTGTGCTGCAAAGGACAAGGAGCCAGGGGGAATCCCGATACTCCATGATACAAACAAGTGTGAGGGGCCTGCCACAATATCAGGAACCTGTGGCCTAAGTAAAATGATCAGGTCCAAAGAATGTGGCGCCAAGTGACCCTGGAACCTCACTGGCGGGCTCCATTTGTCTTCCTACTTATGTAAAAAATCTCTGTTAACAGGTTTTTTAGACCAGACCTCAAAATTGGAAACTTCATGCCCACACTGTTCATGCCTCTGAAACATCCAGCCCAGACTCTGTCAGAATGTGTTCTGAGATGAGCAAAGTTCCTGGTTCCAAGTTTTAAAAAGTTTTAGTAGTATGTATGTACTTATGTGTGTATGAACTGACCGAGACAGGGTCTTGCTATGTAGCCCAGGCTGGCCTTGAACTTGTGGTGATTCTCCTGCCTCAGCCTCTCGAGTGCTGGGATTACAGGTATGTACCACTATGCCTGGCTAGTACTCTGCATTTAGAAAGGTATATTTGGATATACTTTAATGATGCTTATTTTGATAAGAACCAGGCAACACTTTTTTTGTATGGCACAAAATAAAGTTACAAACAATAGCTTTAGAAATCAAAAGCATTTCTAAGAATTAATGAACAATGGCAAAGAGTTTCGGCCCATGTTTCTTCAGAAGCTTAAGCCATTTGCTCCCAGACCTATGGAAGTTATCTCTGGCAACTTCTAAACACTGAAAGGAACATTAAAGAATTAAAAAGGTGATGCAGCAGACTGAATCATAGTTGGCAAAATCAGTGTGTTTCAGAAAGTCACCTCAAGAAAATGATCAGTCTGACTAATGGAATAAACTAGAATCTGTTAAATATAAGCTATTTTGGAACAGGCAGAGGGCAAGTCCTGTGACAAAGGGGCTCTTGCTCTGCTTTGGTCAGGGCTGCACACAGCACTAGGTTCAGCTGGGAGGCTCAGAACCAACCTGCAGGCATCGTCACTTGCATTATCAGCATCAGAGCCACTGGTTTTCAAAAGTGCTATAAAAAAAGACCTCACGCTCAACACAAAAGTCCTAGCAAACCCCAGATGAAGGTGCATGCAGCTTACTTCCCAGGCAAGCAAGGTATGGTTTTGTAGCCTTCCTTTTGGAAGCAGCACTAGAAAGGACCCAGGTGTAGGTGAAATGTACCTCTTGGCCAGGTCCTGGAAATAAGTCTGAACTAGTATTCCTCAATGACAGTATAAAGACACAGATTATAGATTGTTTGGTTTCTGTTTAAGGGAAGCATAAAGATCTCATTTTTAATGGGAGCAACACCCACAAAATCTTAGGCAGTTGTGGCAGGCTCTACTTTAGGCTCTGAGGACACCACTAATTTAAGTGGTAATTACTACTGACCAACAAGGGATGTGGGGAGGGGTGCCAGGGTGAGGGTAGGTTAAGAACTCAAAATTAGCCCAAACAGGGAAAGCACTCCTTGTGGGATGTGGGCTGGGCTTCCATGCTGATGCAATGTATACACCTGCCCAAGGCTTTCACCTGCTCTGTCTTTATGGGCTTGATTATTCTTCAGAACCAGCAGCAAAAGGAATCACATCCATGCATTGCCTTCCAGGTTCTGAGGTGGCCCAGAATAATGTGAAGGTTACTCTATCTGGCGAATTTATTCTGGATTTACTTAAGCTGGAGCTACTTCACTTTAAATATCCACACACATCCTGCTTGCAAAAAGACAGTGTGGCCCCAAGATTTCTAGGCCTGTTATCACAGCTACTTTCTTTCCCCTCTACCCACAGCATGATGCCTGGGATTCTTCCTTTTACTATGGGATTAAAGAGTCAATCATCCTGGCATTTATTAACATGTTACCTTTTTCTGCATAATTCTCAGCTCGTCACTCAAGTTGTTATTCACCTTCATTAGCTGCTGTATCTTGGCCTCAGAAGCCACTAGAGCGTTTTTGACCTCCATAAATTCCTGTACAGTGACTGGTCCATCTGATAAATCTGAATCTAGGCTCTAAAAATAAATTGGGGAAAATGTTCACAATCTGAGATGATGATAACATTAAAGACTAACAGCTAAAGAATTTCAAATTCTGGCCATGCCAGCTGAATTGTAAAGTTAAACCAAATCAGGGCTTCTGAGAATATGTGAAAATGAAACATAAAAGTAGGGTCACTATATTATTAAAAAAAATTTTTTTTTTTTTGAGACAGGGTCTTGCCATGCAGTTCAGACCAGCCTTAAACTCACTATGGAGTCCAGGCTGGCCTCGAACTTTTGGTGATCCTCCTTCCTCAGCCTCCTGAGTGCTGGGATTATAGGCGTGCACCACCATGCCCAGCTATTTAAAAATTTTTAAAGTCAATATTTCCTAATGGAATCATGGGGCTACTAATCTACACTGACAACTATCAAAAGAGATCTGTCCTGTCTTACATGCCTATCTCTTGCTCATTTCCCTTTTCCATTTATTCTTTCATTAATTCATTCATCCAACATTTTTACTGAGCATTAAGTAATTTCTAGGTGCTTGGGATGTATCAGATGAGAAAACAACAATTCCTACTTCCATGGTGTTTACATCCCAGGAGCATGAGAGAGAGAAAAGTAAAAAACAAGTAAATACACAGTATGACTGAAGGTGATTAGTGCTGTGAAACAGATAAAATGGAGCGGAGGGGGGGGTGCAGGAGCTGAAGTAGGGGTGTAGGTGGGCGGCACATTAGGGGAAGCCTTTGAGTTGAGACAAGGAGGCAAGGGAACCCTCCATAAGGTGTCTCGGAGAATGTTCCAGCCCGCAGCAGAACTCCGCTGCAGGGAGCAGACATGGGGGGCTGTCAGTCCACAAAGGTGCAGAATGGGCTTGCTCTCCCTGAGGGAACCAGCAGCTTCTGGGCAGTCCAGACCAGGTATCCCAGTCACTGCCCATGGCATCATCGTTCTCAGTCACGTGAGGCAGAAAACCACACACATCTTCTGTAAGTCCATCTCTCCAATTCATAGTTCTAGACTTTCCTACTCTGCCTCCTGTTCACCCATTCTCCGTGTCTGCAGAGCATCTCCATGGGCCAGGCCGGGGCATTCAGCAGCAGGTAGACAGATCCCCCAGGACCCTGTGACCCTCTCCCCCATCGCACTCCGGTGCCCTGCTTTCTCCTCGCTGGTCTAGGCCCTGAGGTGGCTTGCGTCAGCCTGTTTGGAGCTCTCCGGGAAAACGCTAACTGGTTCCTCCCTCTACTCTCTGAGGTGCCCTCAAGATCTCAGCTCTTCAGGCTTGTGTCGCTTTCTTCCTGTTGTAGCCTTGAGGCTCACTTTTTAATTTTGTGGTAGTGAGGACTGACCTTAGGGTCTTTGCACTGAGCTGTATCTCCAACCCTTTTACTTTTTACTTTTGCGACACAGTCTTATTAAACCACTAAGTTGCCCAGGCTGGCCTCGAACTTGTGATCTTCCTGCCTCAGCTTCCCATTGACTTCCGAGTCCTGATATTACAGGTGTGTGCCACCACGCCCAGCTGAGTCCCACTCTTTTCAACCGCCCTCCTCACGCTAGCGTTCCTTCCAGAGGCCTTGGCTTCACTTTCTCTCTGTCCAGACCGTCCGGCCCTGGCTCCTTCACAGGCCCCATGCCCATGTCAATCTAAGGCACATCCTAAGAGGCGTCCCATTTACAAGGCCTCCTGGGTGCTTGTCAGCAACAGGTTCTCTCCTCTCACTTCCTCAGCTTCTGCCCATGCTCTGTATGACATGTATGACTCTGTACGACATGTATGACTCTGTGCTTTTACTGCAGTTATCCCTCCTCCTAGACAGGGAAGGAAGTAGGCCTTGTTCAGGAGAGTATCATCCTGAGAAGTCACTCTGTGACAGCAGACCTGTCTCTCGGCACTTTACTCAGGGCAGAAGAACCCTGATTTTAAAACTATTTGCTTTGTTTCACTCTGCTTGGCTTGAGCTAGCTGTGAACCCAGCTTTACCTGAACAGTACCTTTCCCAGGGAGAGCCCTCAAGGCAATTCTGCAGGAGGAAGATTTTTAGAAGAGGCATATCCACCCTTTATCCTCTCACCTTCTGCCGGTTTGCCTTGCTTGCTGTGGTTTCCAAGTCAGTGTCTTCGTCTGACGCCACACTGTCATAGTCTGGCTGGTCGTTGTCCTGACTCTCAGTACTGTGCTGGCTATTGATTGTTTTCAGGATAAGCTCCACACTGTCTATCAAGAGAAGCAAATAACTTTATTTCAGGTTTAAATATTATTTTTTTCCTTCCAAAAACCTACTGGGATGACTTTTTAGTTTAGCCATTTAAAGGCCTGAAAGAAAATGACCGAAATAGCCATATTATATTCACACCAATAGAAGGCTAGCAGAAAGAGTTATCGACCCAAAAGAGAGCTGTACAGACAGTCAAGCATTCTTCTGCTGTACGGGGCAAATTAAGGGGCAGGCTTAGGAAGGAGCTGCTCAAAGTGAGGAGGCAGATTCCCAGGTTTCTATACCAATAAAGGTATAATGATCTGCCTGGCTGCAGATCATAAAGAGCTGAGACAGTGTAGTATAAGGTAACGTAAAGTCATTTGATTATACGTGTAACATGCTTACAAGGTGACATCACATCAGAATAGAAAGCAAATTGTTAAACTGCAACTTAGAAACTAGGTGCTCAAAGAATAAGAACGTTGGCATTTTGGGCTGGGGATATAATATAGCTCAGTGGCACAAGTGCCTGCCTGGCAAGGACAAGGTCCTGAGTTCAATTCCTGGTACAAAATAAAAAAAAAGAAAAGTATTTAGTCACCTGAATCAAAGAGAGTGAGAGTGAGAAAGCAAGAGACACACATACAGACACACAGAGACAGGAAAAATGTATCCAATGGACACACATGTGCTTAATATTACGCATTTGATTCTATAGGCTCTTACACATTTTGAAAAAAAAATTTCACAAACTACCAGCTCTGTCTAATTTCTTTCTGATAACTCAGTAGCCTCTGACTTCCAATGTCTAATGTGGTTCCCTTCCCCAGGTTTTTTTATTTTTATTTTTTTTTATTTTTTCCTGCACGCTGAGGATGGAACCCAATCACTCTACCATGGAGCTACATGCTAGGCAAGCACTCTACCATGGAACTACATTCCCAAACCCTTTTCCAGATTTTTTTGTTGGTTTACTTTTTAGCCCGTCTCACTAGTTCAGGTTGGCCTTGAACTCACTTTGTAGCCCAACCTGGCCTCAAACTTACGGTGATCCTCCTGCCTCAGCCTCCCAAGGGCTGGGATTACAGGTGTGCGCCACCGCACCCAGCTTTTTCAAGGTATCTTGATGATGACATCTAAGTGACAAATTATGGTTTAAGAGAACTACGTCCTATTTTGATTCTTAAAATTAACATTTAAAAATATGCAAATATATGATTGCAGAAGTAATAAAGATTCAATAGAGAGATTTTAGAAGCTAAGGACCAAGGAAGACAGAAACCACTTACAGTCATTGCTATATGTTGACCTATTTTTCCTAGTCTTTTTTTTTTCAAACATACATTACACACATAGTCAATTCTTGTTATTCTTGGTAGTTATATCCTAAAAAGTTGTTGCGAAGACTATATGAGCCAATACCAAACTACTGCTCCTAGGGGAAACACAAGATTGGATTCCTCACAGCTTTAGGTCGTAATATTTTCATCAATCCATCAATGCAGAACTTTGTTCTGTGTGTGTGTGTGTGTGTGTGTGTGTGTGTGTGTGTGTTGTCTTTTTACAATTTTTTTTCTTGGTGGTACCAGGGATTGAACTCATGACCTTGTGCTTGCCAGGCAGGCACTTATGCCACTGAGCTATATCCCCAGCCCTGTTTTGTCTTTTTGAGACAGGGTCTCATTATGCAGTTCAGGCTGGCCTTGAGCTCACTTTGTAGCCCAGGCTGGTTTTGAACTCACAATGATCCTCCTGCCTCAGCCTCCCGGGTGCTGGGATTACAGGCGTGCGCCACTGTGCCCAGCTTGTTTAAAGACACTGAATATACACTGTTGATCCATTAACATTAAACTCATGGCTCACAGCATTAAAAGTCATGCTGGAACAAGGCTCGCCCAGTGCACATTTTTCTGTAAGCCTTCTCACTCTCACGAACACTAGACAGGACGTTCAGCACTATGCTTGGCCAAATCACCAATAAAAAGCACAGAAATGGGACAAGGACTCGACTGTTAAAAAAAAAAAAAAAGCAGAAAATGTGAAAAACATGGCACTAAATAGACCATGAACGGGACGCTTGTATGTAACAATGAGATCTACAAGGACGCAAGGAGTTGCCTTATTCAGCCTCCACCAGGAATGTGCTTTCTGTGACTCAAATTTTTTGCCACTTTGCCTATGTAAGAAAATAACCTCAAGAGTGACTGGAGTACTGACTCTGGGGTTACAAGTAAATTTTAGCAAGTAGATAAATTTGCAAATATGCAGGTGAGGATCAACTGTATGTGCATAATTACATGCAGTATCCATCCTCTTGTGTGTCTGTAAATATGTTCTCTTTACAAAATTTGGATTATACTAAAAACTTAAAAGTTTCATTAATGTATTCCATATCATTACATATTCTCTGGAAAGATGTCTGTGTATCATCCACATATTAGTTATTTCTAACGTTTTTGCTATTATACATACTTATAACACCTCTGATTATTTCCCTGCAATCAAGAGTAGACGTATTTTGAGACTTCGCATTTATGCAAAGATTCTTGGCACTGTACTTTCCTTGGAGTTTATTCATTTTTTTCAGAAATTCTTTATTCCTGGTTGGCTGAATTACTAAATCACTTTGTGAATAGGCAAAGGAAAGAACAAATTGTTGTCAGAATATTCGCCTCTTTGGGGAATGTGATACTGACTCTGGCCTAATTTTGATGGTACACATTTCTTCTGTTTAAAGACCTTACAATAAAAAAGTATAGTGATGAGGGGGAAAAAACCCCGACAAGTACACAGTAATAGGCTGCAGAGGAAGTATCTTCCTCAACGTGCAGACAGGACCGTGACATACTGAACAAGACTCCACAGGCCACTTTGAGGTAGGTGCTCAAGACTAATTCTGGCTCACAATACTTCTTGCTACAGAACCTAAAGTTTATAGCAACCAATTTTAATTATTTGGAATTCAATTTTGGAAGGAAGCATCAGTAGCTTGAGATGTGGTTTTAATCAAGAGAGCTAATTTTCTTATGTCTTTAGTAAGACCTAAGTTGAATTTCTGGGTTAATTTCAGGGTGAAATTTTACAAAGTGACCAAAAAGGAACCAAAGAAATAATACCTAAGTTTGAATAATCGTTACTAATTATGAAATACTATTAACCAGAGCTCAAAGAGATAAACTTTTCACCACAACAGATTGATAATAAAACGCAGGACTGTAAGCTACCATGTCAATGACTATTGTAATTAATTTACAACTTCACATTTAATGGTTATGTCTTAGAAGGTCCAAAAAGTTGACATTTCGTTGTTGGACACTTACCTTTTGAACTAGAGAGGGGACTTCCCTGCTGTCTCCTCTTGGCATCGCCGAGAATGTCAATAACGAGTGTGGCAAACTCATGGGCATTAAACCGAGCGAGTTTCTGTCTGCCCTAAGGGGGAAAAAATAATTGAAAACATTCCCCAGTGTAAAAATACAGACATAAACGTCACACCCAACCAGTCAGACTACTCATAAAACTCCTGTAAAGCTCCTCTAGCACTATCACAGTGTGATCAATCACAGCCATAATCAAATCAAAACAGTGTTAGTTTCCATGAAAACAGGCTCAAGTCACTATGTAAAAGAACTTTTTAACAACTGAATTTTTACAATGCTTATTTATTTTCTGAGCAAAAATAAAATGTCTCTGGCCAGGGAAGCTCAGTGGTAGAATACTTCCCTAGCATTCACAAGGTCCTGTGCTACCTAAATAAAAATGGTTCCACTTCATGCTTTTCTTCTATTAATGATTTAGTTTTGAAGTAGACCCAGTAATGGGTAATGATTTTTTTCTTGGTACTGGGAACTGAACTCAGGACCTTGCACTTGCCAGGCAGGTGCTGTGCCGCTGAGCTATATCCCCAGCCCAAGACCCAGTTTGAGAAATTAACATGGAAAAAAATTTCTAAATTTCAAGATAAACACAATTCTAGTCCAGATGTGGGTACGCTATCCTTATATACAACTATTAAAAATTAAAACTATAATACTTTCTCATTTACTCACCATTTTTCCTCTTGATGGGTACTGCAGTTGTTTTTAATACTGTATTACATAATGCAAGGCTTTAATGAAACTCACTGTGTGTAAAACTATTTTATTAGATAGAGTATTATTCCAAAATGAGGAATTTCAATATAAAAAGATTTTTTTTTTTTTTTGTCTGTTTGAGACAGGGTCTCGCTATGCAGTTCAGGCTGGCCTTGAGCTCACCCTGTAGCCCAGGCTGGTCTTGAACTCACAATGATCCTTCTGTCTCAGCCTCCCGAGTGCTGGGATTACAGATGTGAGCCACCATGCCTGGCTGATATGCTTTTTTTTTTGAGGCTTCTGAAACTGGTAAACAATTTGCTTTTCTAAAGTCTATAATCATTTAAAATCCTATCTGTAGCATGAGAAAGCCTACCCTGCCACACTACCAGCCTGGAGTATCTCTTTGTCTTTAGATTGCTTTTTTTTTTTTGCTTAGTAATAAGTTCAAACAGTTTTTCACAAGGCACTTGTATTTTTTCTGTTAACTGTTTTTTATTCTTTCCCAGTCATCTATTTATATCTACTGCTTTTCTCATTATTCTGTGAGTTGTGTTTATGTGTGTATAAAGGGTATGAAATTTTAATCAATCAAATCGCTTTAAATACTTATCCTGGGCAAATGACATACCATGACATCAGCCACTCCCCAAATACTACTAGTTACTTTCCAAACTGAGCCACTTGCCTGGTTTCGTGTTGATGAGTACTCAGGATTGACCGGAAGAAAGGGGACGACGGTTGTCTCGGTTACCAGGGTGCTGTGGTTTTGCGTGGCAAGCCAGACTAGCCAGAGGAAAGAGCCAGAGACAATCTCATCACACCTGGGGTGCCACGGCTCTGCGGCTCACGCGTTACTAGGGAGACTTGGGGAAGCACACTCTGAAGCCAACACACGCAAAGGTACATGTTGACACACGCGTTATCAGGACAGGAGAAATTGGGCAAGTAAAACACTGAGGCTGGCAGCTTGTTACCGCCCACTGATAACAGAAGCTTAGTAGATAAAGTCATGTTAAGTCACCTGCATCAGTCTCTCGCCTGTCAACTTCATCGTACACATCCATGGCAAGCTCTTCAAACAAATGATTACTTAGCTGAAAGTAAAAAATATCAGGAACACAAGGGACAACGATTAACACCAGGAGGATGAGAGGGGACTGTGACTTATTCACCCTTTTATCTCCAATGCCCTATTCAAAGCCAGGGCCTAGCAAATACCCACTGTTACACACATAATAGCTTTTCCACAACTGTACAAATCCTCTAGAAATATCTGCTTCCCACAGTGGCTTCACTGATCTGTGACACACAGGTACAGTCACTGCTGCTGAGAAGTCAAGAGGGGCTCACACGTTATTATCTCAAATGCAGCTCCAGCTCTGCTTGCGAGGGCACCCTGGAAGTCTCGTCTGTTCTTGAGAGCATTTGTCAGTCCCCAAAACGTTAAGGGCTCCTAACCCCCAATGGGATAAAGTGAAAACAGGCTCTTTGTGAAGATAAAATGTGCTGTGCACAAAGACAAGATCCAGACTGGTCAGGTGTCTGCTGTCCTCCTCAGCGGCAGTCCATACCCCACAGAGCTGAGCTCCTAACAAAGCAAAACCTGACTCATCAGCACACTGCATGCTGTCAGCTCATGACACACTCACCGCACAGGCTGAGCTAATCAGCAGCAGCTGGGACAGGGGCAGGGTGGACTATCAAGGTCTTTGCAACTGAAAGGAGGTTAAGGTGCTGCCAGGGCAGCCTGGGCTCTCTCTGTACTTTTTGCTTTGTGAAATTCACCTGGAGATGTGGCAAATACAACCTTTTTTTTTTGTATTGGGGAATCAAATCCCAGGGCTTTACACTGAGTTAGATCTCTAGCACCTCCCCCACTTTTGCTTTCATTTTGAGACACAGTATTAAATCACTAAATTGCCCAGGCTGGGCTCAAAACTGAGATCCTCCTGCCTCATAGCCTTCCAGAGTGCTGGGATTACAGGTGAGCACCAGAGCACCACGCCAGGCCAGTTTTTGTTTTTTTTTTTGTTTTTTTTTTTGGTCTTTTTGAGACAGGGTTTCGCTATGCACTTCAGGCTGGCCTTGAACTCACTTTGCAGCCCAGGCTGGCCTCAAACTCACAGCAATCCTTCTGCCTCAGCCTCCCGAATGCTGGGATTACAGGTGGGCGCCACCACGCCCAGCTTCCAGTTGTCCTTTTTAACTGACTGCTTCCCTGCTCTGTCAGAGCAGCTACTCAGTTTATTGTACTGCCAACTCTATTCTGCACATCCACAAACAGTACCAGGCACTCACTCGGGGGCCGCAGGACACAGCCTACACTAACCTACAGGTTTTTTAGGCAACAACTTAAAAATGCTGGCTACAGAGACCTCATGGGAACATGTACAATATATTGCTGGGTAAAAAGGTGGATATAAACACTACAATTATGATTTCCAGTTAAAAAAGATACATATGAAATAAGAACTGAAAGGAATATACCAAAATACTGAGCCTGAATCCATCAGGAATATAATGACTGAGGATGATTCCCCCTTCTCTATTTCCAGTTTCCCTAGTGTAGTCAAATTACATTTATAATTTTTTTTGTCTTTCTTTATAATTTTATTTTAAAATTTTTTTATTTTAAAAAATAAAAGAAGGAAAACATATTAACAAACAGACATCCATTTACAAAATAGCATAAGAACAATACAAACCAAACAGAGTTACAGAAAAGTTGCAGGAAATTAACCTTCTTTGTCTTTTTGGGACAGGCTCTCACTATGCAGTTCAGGCTGACCTTGAGCTCACTTTGTAGCCCAGGCTGGTCTTGAACTTGCAACGATCCTCCTGCCTCAGCCTCCCGAGTACATTTATAATTAGAAATAAACCCTGAGAGCCAGCTGTGGTGGCACATGCCTAGACCCAGATATGCAGGAGGCTGAGTCAGGAGTGTCATAAATTGAAGACCAGCCTAGGCAACTCAGCCAGACTCTAACTCAAAAATAAAAAGTGCTGGAGATATAGTGGTAGAGCACTTGCCTAGCATGCCAAGGCCCTGGGTTCAATCTCTAGTACCACAAGAGAAAAATAAACAAAAACAAAAAGCCCTGAGAGCCTGTTGTAAACTATGATAATGGATTGGGAGCTTTAACTTGCTTCACAAATATCAGATTTTCTACCTGGGAGTGGTGGTGCATCACTCTAATCTTTATACTCTGGGGAGTTAAGGCAGGAAGATCCCAAGTTTAAGCTCAGCCTGGGCAACTTATCAAGACTATCTCTCAAAATAACAAATAAAATAGCTAGGGTTATAGCTCAGTGTGAAGGCCCTGGACTCAATTTCCAGTATCTCCCTCGAGGAAAAAAAATTCAGTTTCCCCCTCCAAGAGACTATAAACTGGTATAACTATTACTAACACCACCACCAACAACCAGCACTGGTCTAGCACTTATATCCCAAGCACTGTGCTAACAGCACACTACTTAGTACTTTTACTATTGTTCCATTTTACAAACAAAGGAAATCAAGGCATATCAATTAATAGCTTGCCTAAAGTCACAAAGCTAGTGAATGATGGACCCGAGATTCAGGTTTAAGTTTCCCAAATGTTAACATTTACTAATTCAAGGACTGTAAGGACGCTTGGTGTATTTCTCTTAACTTTTCATTAGGGAAGGAAGAGGGGAGGAAGAGAAGGGGGCAGGAAGAAAGAGATGGAAATAGGGAGGAAAAGGAAAAAAGGAAGGAAAAAGAAGGAAAGGACGGAGGGAGGGAGGGAGGAAGGGAGAGGAGGAAGGTGTGAGGGGCGAATGCCGACCTGGCATTGGTAACAGCAGCCACGTCCAAACAGACCAGAGGGCCAGGGGAGCCGACTGGTGATAAAGGCAGCTCACCGGGCTGAGTTGTTCTGGCTGCAGCCCTGCAGCACCGCGCCCGCCTTCCAGGGGCCGGACACCAAGGCACAGGAAGACCATGGTGCTTAGCAGGGTCAGGAGGGGAAGCTGCCCAAGATCTTAAAAGCTCTACTGAACCCTGTCCAAGGTATGCATTTTAGCTACATGCTAGATACTACACATCACCTCAGCCTCCACGCAGCTTTCAGACTAACAGTGTAGGAGAATCAAAGGGAATCTGTTTTTTTTTAGGTTTAATTCATTTGTAATAAAAATTCACTTACACATTAGGAGTAATTAAAAGGAAACCATACAATATTTTGGACAAACTCTGAAGCTTATCATCTTTATCATCTTACCATACAGTAGTTAATTTAAGAAAGCCAATAAAACACACAGACACACAAAACCATAGATACAGAACACAGAGACACCAAACAAATTGCATAAAACATTTATTTCATAATACAGTTAATACTAGTAAGAATAAATTCATTTTATGTAATATTCAATATTAGACGAAATTCTAGAGAAGGATCTTCTGCAAAAGGGCGAATAGGGAAGAAAGTCATGATGTGGGCAAGCAGCAGTTTTAGAGCTGTGCTTTGGGAAAGCTGCTGCCTACACTGGGAATGAGGTCAGAGCTCAGCTCCTTGAATGAGAAAAGTCACAGAAGCTGGGCAGGGCAAACACTCAGGCAAGAGAAGACTCCTGGAGAGGGCTGAAGGCGTCAGCTCTTGGCCTCAGAGAGTGTTTATCCATAAAGAAACACTTCGACACACATGTGCACATGTACACACACACAGGCACACACACACACACACACACACACACACACACACTGGGAACCAGATGACTAGCTCTGAAAGGTAAGCTGGATGACGCCCTCGAAGGTTATGAAAACAATCCAAGAATCTTGGTTCCGATCCAGAGAACAGTAAGAAGAGTTGAGGACAGTAAGTAATCTGGCGGCTAATGTGGTTGGGAAACACCCTGGTGAGATGTCACTTGATGGAACTGGACAAGGGAAAATGGTTCCCAGAGAAGCTTACTTCCCAGGGTGCTGCCTAAAGCTGCAAAGACACAGAGTACACTAAGCAGGTAACCTGCAGGGCTGGGAAGGTTCTCAGTGCATACGTGGTCTGGACTGACAGCTTTTAAAAGCATGATTTTGAAAAGCTCTGACGAATGTCATACAATCGGTGAGAGTCAGAACTGTGGCAGGGAGTCAATGTACAGACTCACCACCACACCAGCCTCAGCTTTGATCACTCCCTAGCGTTCTATTAGGCCACAGAGAGTAACCCCAAGGAAGTGTACCCACTTGCGCATTCACACTGAGACACTAAGGGACTCTCACAAGGAGCAGCCACTTCCTACTGTCACAGACACAATCTTCGCTTTTAACATGCCAGAGAAAAATGGGATTATTTAAAGCAGAGCCAACGAACTGGACATATTAAACCTAATAATGGCTTCATTCTTCATTGCTACATAATCAGTGGTCTGCTTCTACCTTAGCATCTCAAAGTATGAAATAAAATCCTGACACAACTGTAACCAGGACTGAGAAAGGTACTAACTAACAGGATATATTGATTCCCACACCGATTCCACAGTAAAGAGAAATACTCACAGACTGAAGTTTCTTCTTAGCAGCTTTTGCCAATTCAGACAAATCCAGGCTGCTATGAAAATGTACAAAATGCATAAGTAAATCAATAAAACATATTCATGAGCTTTACAGATAATTAAGACACCCAAGGGATAGAAATATTAGTTACAATCTAGGGACACTATCTGAGTCAGTATTCAATAACCAGAGACTAGGTGAGGAAACTGACACAATTTGGCCAGAGGGACTCCTAGAAATAAAAGTCATATAAAAGAAAAAACATCACCCAACTAAAATGACAAAAATTATTACCAGGTGAACCTCTGGGCCTTTATGTGAGAAGTCACAATTTTTTAGGTCTGAAAAAAAATAATGAAAGGGCCAAGGAAGCTGCACAGGGGCAGAGTGCTTGCCTAACACGCGCAAGACCCTGGGCTCCATCTCAGCAACTGGGGGGGGGAGCAAGCTAGGAGAAAATACGACGCAGGGAAAGTGGGAAAAACCAGAATGGCAAGATTGCACCTGGGGCAGCAGTTAATCATTTCATAAACTTTTGACAGTATTTGTGCAAAGGTAACTGGCTACACAGGGTTTCAGGTTCACTGCGGTAGCGATGAACCCATCTGTCTTACCAACTGGGGCTGGCAAATTCTGGGCTTATTTTTGTTCAGCCAATGAGCTAAGAATGGTGTCTGTATTTTCAAATGCTTCGGGGAGGGCGATAGTATTTCATGGAGAGGAAAATATTTCATTAGGTGTGAAAATTATATAAAATTCAAATTTCAGTGTCCACAAATATAATTTTATTGGAACAAATATGCCCATTTATTTATATAATGTCCCTCTATAACAGGAGAGGTGAGTAGTTGTGACAGACTCTGTATGCCCCACAAAACCTAAAACATATATGGTCTGGCCCTTGACAACTGTTTGGAGACTCATGTTATAGACAAAGAATATACTCTCCTATGATTCAGAAATATTTTGAGAATTAACCTATTCTACAATATTACTACCACAACTGGCTAAAATAGTGACTGTCTCACTCGCTCCAATTTCCTTACTAATTAACTGGTTACTTGTGCTCTTTCAAACTTAAGTTTTATATGGTTTACTTACAGCCGTCTTATTCCAAATTGTACAGCCATAAAAGAGAAAAATGTATGGGCTTTGTTAAACAAACTATAACACACTTCAATACTATACAACCAGGGAAATACTAGGAACAGGTAAAATTGAACGGTATCTCCATGGCCTTACCTGTCTGCCATTTGAGGTATTATAAAGTGCTGTCCATTTTTGTGATCTGAAACAGAAACCAATATATAAATATTGATGAGATCAGTTGAGAAACACCACTATTATTTTCTCAATTGAAGTTCTACAATTTCTACTTTTCCATAACTATGAATCACATTGGGGAACAGAAGTTGTTACGCTGGCTACAAATGCCCAAGCAGCTGAGATGTATCTAGGACCACATCCTCATTTTCTTCTGGCACAAAGATCCAGACATCATTTAGCAGAAGACCTCTGCTTACCCCAAGCCTCTGGTTAGTTCACCTCAGGAAAACTGATTATCTTCAGCCATGGAAGAATGCTGAGGGAGCTGAATTAGCTCAGAGCTGGCTTCCCTCTGTGGGATGGTGGAGCTTCAGTGAGGCCTGGTGGCTAGTTCAAATTAATCGGCTAGCAGAAAACTGTCAAGGCTGGACGGGGTGGTCTTTGCAGACTGAGAAAGGGACTCCATCTCCTAGGATACTCACTGACTTGGTCCTAATCTAGCTTCTAGAGGGTGGTGAGCACATTCCAGTGAACAAAACCATTATAAGCATCTAAGCTTTGGAGTACCAACGAGTGGGTCTGCTGAGTTACGTGGTAAATATACAATTTGGTAAAAACTGCTAGATCTTTTTCCAAAGTAGCTATATCATTTTCTATTCTGAACACTAATGTATGAGAGTTATAGTTGCTTCATGTCTTTCCCAGCACTTACATTGTCTGTCTTTGATTTGTTTTAAAATTTTAGCTATTCTAATAGGTATATTGTAGTACCTCACTGTGTGTGTGGTTTTTTGTTTTGTATTGTTTTGCTTTTTTTCTTTCAGTACTGGGGATTGAACGAAGGGTCTTGCACATGGTAGGCAAGTGCTCTACCACTGAGCTACACTTCCAGCAATTCAGTGTGGTTTTAATTTGCATTTCTGTAATGGATAATGATGCTGAGCTTGCCATCATGTGCTTGATTTTTGCCATCTGAACACTGTCTTTGTTCAAGGTTTTCCTTTTTTGTTTTTCTTTTTTTTCTTTTCCTTTCCTCCACCCGCCTCTGCCTCTCCCTCCCCCTCTCTCTCTTTCTCTGCAGATTAGGTCTTGAACTCTTGGGCTCAAGCAACGGTCCTGGCCTTCAGCCTTCCAAGCGCTGGGGTTATAGCTGTGTTTCACTGTGCCTCCTCTGCCCAAGTTTTTACTGGGTTGTTTGTTTGATTACGACTGAGTTTTAAGAGTTAAGAATTTTAAGTTCTTTGTTAAATACATGATTTCCAAGTATTTTCTCCTAGACGTAGCTTGTCCTTTTATTTTTAAAAGTTTTTTTTAGTAAGGACATTTGCATTACATGTAATCGATGCAAACATACAACTCCCAAATGGGAGTTGGTACATGAACATAACACAAGTTAATTTTTAAAATCTCCTTTCCTTCTCTTTCCCTTTTTCATTCTTTTAACCATAGTTTTCACAGGGCACAAGGTTTCACTTTTTTTTTTTTTTTTTTTTTTGTGACAGCGTTTCACTATGCAGTTCAATCTGGCCTTGAACTCATAGTGATCCTCCTGCCTCAGCCTCCCTACTGCTGGGATTACAGGTATACGCCGTAATGCCTGGCAAGGTTTCACTTTTGATGAGGTATAATTTGTCAATATCTTCTTTTATGAATTGTGCTTCTGATATTATATATAAGAACTTTAATCCAAGATCAAGTATTTTCTCCTACATTTTCTTCTAGAAGTTTGATCCAGTTTGAATTAATCGTCATGTAAGGAGTGAAGTTTGGGTTGAAGTTCATTTTCCTGCACATGGATGCTCACTTGGGACAACTGTTGTCTCAATACCACATACTCATCCGCCCTTGGATCACTTTTGTGCTCCTGTCAAAAATCAATGGAACATAACTCCAGATTCCCTGTATTTATAATTTCACTAATCCAAGTATTTACCTCTCCATTAATACCACAGTCTCAAATACTATAGAGTGTTTAGCAAATCTTAAAATTGGATAGCATGCTTCCTCCTACATTATTCTTTTGCAAAACTGTCTTGGCTGTCTATTGCTGTCTTCCTATTTAAATTTTAGAATCAGTATGTTTATGTCTACCAAAACATCCCTGAGTTAAATTAAGTTTACACAATGATTTGTGGAAAATTGATGCATTAAATATAGTCTTCCAATCTATAAAAATAGTAGTATGTGATTGTACTTGTCCAGGTTTCCTTTGATTTCTTTTATCAGCATTTTATAATTTTTAGCATACAGAGCCTACGAATAGATAGACAGTAAGATATATACCTAAATATTTAACTTGGAGCTATTGATTTACAATACCATTTAGGTACTGCTTTTCTAGTTTCAGTTTCCAATTTTTCATTGCTAGCCTAAAAAAACATGATGGTTGGGTATTGACTTTGTATTCTGTATCCTAGTTAAATTCACCTATTAGTGTAAGAATTTTCTTGGAGGTTTTTTTTGGCATTTTCCACCTAGAAATGATCTCCTTTGAGTGGGAATAGTTTTATTTTTCTTTTCAATCTTTATACTTTTTTCTCCCCTTGCCTTTACAGCAGTATTAGGATTTTCAGTGCGATGCTGAATAGGAGTGCTAAGAGCGGTCATCCTAGCCTTTCTCTGTGTGTGCGGGCCAAAACAGTCTTTCACCTTTAAAAGTGATGTTAGCTATTGGTTTTCTAGAGATGCTTCCTCAGGTTACATAAGTCTTGCCTGTTCCTAGTTTGATAAAAAAAATTTTTTAAATCATTCATGGATGTTGAACTTGGTAGAACTACTTTTTCTGTATAAAATGGTATATGATTTTTCTTTTTTATGTCAGTTAATGGGATGAATCACATTAACTGATTTTCAAGTACTGAATCTGGAAACCCCTATTCATTATGTTATATTTTTCTTTTTATTTATTGCTAAATTCAACTTGCTAATATCTGATGAAGATTTCTGTTTACATTTTATGAGGGCTGTTTTCTGTACTTTGCTGGGTTTGGTATAAGTAATGCTAGCCCCATAATGAGTTGAGAAGTATTTCCTCTACTATTGTGGAGGGCTTGGGTCTTAATAGAATTTTTTTAAATGTACAAATGTAAATATTTAAAAATACAGACCCAGGCGTGCTGGCTCACGCCTGTAATCTCAGCACTTGGGAGGTTGAGGCAGGAGGATCTTTGTGAGAGACTAGTCTGGGCTACAAAGTGAGCTCAAGGCCAGCCTGAACTGCACAGTAAGACCCTGTCTCAAAAAGACAAACAAACAAACAAATAAACACTGAACAGGATTATAAAACAGGGCTGTAGATCAGTGGGAGAGCATTTGCCTAGCATACATGAAGCCCTGGGGTCAATTCCCAGCACCACATTAAGGAAAAAGATAAATAAATGAGTGATTACATATTTATAACCCCCCCCTTTTGTGATTTTTTTTAGAAACAGGGTCTTACTGTGTAGTTCAGCCTGCCCTTGAACTATGTGTCCCAGGCTGTCCTTGAACTTGTGGTGATCCTCCTGCCTCAACCTCCTAAGCATTGAGATTACAGGTGTGCACCACTATGCTCGGCTCTTTCCCCTTCTTTTTGGGTGGGTTTTAGTAGTCTATGGCTTTCAAGGAATTAGTTTATTTGACCTAAACTGACCAATTTATATATATAGTTATTATATATATATGTGTGTGTGTGTGTGTGTGTGTGTGTGTATATATATATATATATTTTTTTTTTTTTCGTCTTTTTGAGACATGGTCTCACTATGCAGTTCAGACTGGCCTTGAGCACACTTTGGAGCCCAAGATGGTCTCAAGCTTGCAACGATCCTCCTGCCTCAGCCTCCCAAGTCCTGGGATTACAGACATGTGCCACCATGCCCAGCCATATTTTCTTTTTTATACAGCTGGGGATCAAACCCAGAACCTTACAAATGCTGGGCAAACACTGTACCACTAACCTATTTCCTCAACCCCCATTTTAAATTATCCTTTAAGGTCTTGGGGATGGGGATTTAGTGATAGCACTGTCTTTCTGTTCTTTCCTTTTTTAATCAGTATAGTTAGACATTTATCAATTTTATGATTTTTTTTCAAAGAATCAACTTTTGGTCTCAATTTTTTCTACTGTTTTCCTTTTTCAGTTTCACTTATTTCTGGTTTATCTTTATTATTTGCAGTTTTCTACTTGATTTGCTCATGTTTTTCTAGCTTCTCTAAGGGAAGTTTGATTGAAGATTGTTCTTTTTAATATAAGAATTTAATGCTACAACTTTCCTCCAGGCATTGTTTTAGCTGTATCCCACAAATTCCGATGTGCTATATTTTCATTTTTATTCAGTTGAAAATATTTTCTAATTTCCCATGAGATTACTCTTTAGACCAATGGATTATTTGGATGTGTGCTGTTCAACTTCCAAGCACTTAGGTATTGTCTGTTTCTAGTTTAATTGCATTATAGTCATAAAATATATTTTGCAGGATTTTAATTCTTTTGATTTGCTAAGGTTTGTTTTTTTTGGCTAAGGTAAGCCAGTAAATTTTGAAGATATATTTGAAAGGCAGATGTAGTCTGAAGCCAGGTAGAACATTCTATAAATAATTAGATCTAGTTGGTTTTTGGTTTGGTTTAGCTCCACAGCCTGACTGATTTTCTAGTAGTTCTATTTATTACTAAAAGAGATGTGTTGAGTGTCCAACAATAATTGTTTTTCTCCTCTTTTTTTTTCAACAATAATTGTGGATTTGACCTTTTGTTCTTTCTGTTCTATTGAAGTTTGTTTCATGTACGGGATGTGACTGAAAAATATGGTGAATGTCTAAATTTTAAAAAATTATTACAAAGACACATTACCATTAATTCCCCCTCAGAAATACTCCTCCTCACTTCACAGACCCTTACCCCATCATTCTTGCCACTTTCTGAAGCAGTTCTGGAAATCCTCTTACTTATCTTTAGTTGCACTTTGGTGGCTGTCTCAATGTTGTGAACTGATTCAAAGTGTTTATTTTTCATGGTCATTTTCATTTTGGGGAAGAGCAAGAAGTCACAGGTCCTGCCACATCTGATGAATAAGGTAGATGAGGACACACGGTAATATTTTTACGAGCCTTTCTTTCTGTTGGATGGCACTCAGCAGCAGTATTCTCTGTAATTTTGATCACAGCTCAGAAAAACACAGAAGAACACTTCTAGAACTGCTTCAGAAAGTAGCAGGAAAGATGGGATAAGCATGTCTGAAGCCACGGGGAGTACTCTGAGGGGAATTGTAGACTTTCAGTATACTAGAAATTTAAAATTTAAGCCAGGCATGGTGGCACACACCTGTAATCCCAGCACTCGGGAGGCAGAGGAAGGAGGATCATTGAGAGTTCGAGACCAGCCCGGGCTACAAAGTGAGTTCAAGGCCAGCCTGAACTGCATAGCAAGACCCTTTCCAAAAGAAAAAAAAAAAAAAAAAGAAAAAAAAATTCAAACATTCACCATACAGAGTTTGCCCATCCCTTGTAATTTGAAGCTCTGTTGCTTGTTACATACACATTTAGTTTTGTTATGTCTTTAGGTGAGTGGTCCCTTTGCCACCATTTTATGTCTCTCCTCTATCTCTAATTTTCCTTGTTCTGAGGTTTTTTTTTTTTTTTAATGTTGTTATGTTCACTTTGTTTTAATATAGCTACTCTTGCTCTCTTTTACTTAGTGTTTGCATGGAGAATCTTTTTTTTTTTGTACCAGGAATTGAACTCAGGACCTCAGGCAGGTGCTGTGCCACTGAGCTATATCCCTAGCCCAGGATAATCTTACTATACCTTCTGGCATTTAACTTACCTATATCATTATATTTAAAGTGAGATTTTTTTTTTTCCTTTGCAGTACTGGAGATTGAATCCAGGACCTATGCACCGAGTTACAACCCTAGGCCTTCTTTGTTTTTTTTCTTAATTTTGAGATAGGATTTCACTAAGTCACTAAGTTATGCAGGCTGAGCTTGAATTTTCAACCCTTTTGCCTCAGACACTCCAAGTGTTGGGATGTGTACTACCATGCCTGGCTAACGTTTCTTGTACATAGCATATAGTTTGGTCTTTAAAAAACGAAAAAAAAAAAAAAAAAAGAAAACAAAAAAACCTTTATAACACCTTGTTTTTAATTTGTACAATTAGATCATTAATTTTTTTTTTTTTGCACTCAGGTTCTTGCTATGCTGTCCAGTCTGGTCTCAAGCTCTTGGGCCTGTGTGATCCTTCTGCTTCAACTGTCTAAGTCCTAGAACTCCAGGGGCCTGCCACCAGGCATGGCTGGATCGTTCACAGTTAATGTAATTATTGATATGACTGGATTTAAGGCTATCATTTTATTGTTTATTTTCTGTTTGATCCTTTGTTTTTGCTTTTCTCTTTCCTCTCTTGAATATTTTCAATCAAAATATCTTATTTAAATAATTTCTAAAATTCCATTATGTCTATAGAGTTTTTGACTAATTATCTTTGAATATCTTTTTTTCTTTTTAGTGGTTATGCTAGAGATTACAATATACATAATTTTCAGTCTACTCAGAAATAATATTTTACAATTTCAAGGAGGATGTAGAAATATTACCTTAATTCTTTTGCTGTTCCCCTGCTGTAGCTATCATACGTGTTATACTGACATATGCTGTAAACCCACTTGATGTTTTACAACTTTTGCTTTCAACTGTCATACATATCTTAAAGAATATAAGAGGAAACCATTATCTATATTACTTCCATTGCTTTTCTTACATTCCTGAAGTTATGTAAGATGCTCTCAGATATTTTTTCACAAAGAACTTAGCCTAGAATTTCTGTTAGAGCAATGAATTAATTCTTATTTTTCTTCATCCGACAATGTCTTTATTTTGCTTTCATTCCAAAGGTTATTTTCACTGGATATAGAGTTCTGGACTGAGAGTTCTTTTCTTTCAGTACATTAAAAATCTTGAAGGAAATATCTTTATCATCGTTATGACTTCTGATTTTTTTTTTTTTTTTGGTTTTGGTTTTTTTCTGGTACCAGGAATCAAACTCACAACCTTGCGCTTGCCAGGCAGGCGCTGTGCCACTGAGCTAAATCCCCAGCCCCCGCTATGACTTCTGATAAGAACCAGGGAACAACCAACGCTCAAAAACTATGGGATTTCAGAGTATTCTGGAATTTTGGATTAGGGATGGTTAATAGGTGAAGCCATGTAAATATTCCAAAATCCCCAGTTCTCCAAGATCTGAAACACTTCTGGTCCCAAGCATTTTGTATAAGGGATATTCAACATTTATTGTGTGATTTTTTTTTTCCCCATTGGTTGCTTTTAAGATGTTTCCTTTAACTTTAGTTTTCAGCAGTGTGATGAGTCTCAAATGTGAATTTCTTTAAGTTCATCCTCTTTGGTGTTTGCTAAGCTTCCTGCATCTTTATGTTTATGTCTTTGGAAAAATCTAGAATTTTCGGCCAATGTTTGTTTAAACACTTATCTGCATACCACACTCTTTCTCATCTTTCTCTTAGAGTCCAGCAATACAGATGTCAGACCTTCTGTATTTCTCCACAGTTTCTCGAGGCTCTGTTGAGTTTTTCTCCCTCCACTCTTTTTCCTGGTGCTCAAACTGGATGACTTCTAGTGATGCATTTTCAATTCACTGACTTTTGTCATTTTTAACCTGTTATTAACCCCATCCAATGAATTTTAAATTTTTAGTGACTGCATTGTTCATTTCCAATGATCTTACTAGGTTTTTTTCTGTGTCTTCTATTTTCTCCTGAGATTTTCTACGCTACTTGTTTTGAGAATGTTTACTTTGAGCTGGGTATGGTAGCACATATCTAAATCTCAGCCCCGGGGGAGGCTGAGGTAGAAGGATTTCAAGTTGGAGGCCAGCCTGGGCAACTTAGGAAGTCCGTATCTCAAAATTAAAAATAAGGCTGGGCGTGATGGCGCATGATCATGCCTGTAATACCAGTGCTCGGGAGGCTGAGGCAGGAGGACTGGTGGGAGTTCCAGGCCAGCCTAGGCTACAAAGTGAATTCAAGGCCAGCCTGAACTGCATAGTAAAACGCTGTCTCAGAAAAAAAAAAAAAAAAAGACCAAAAATAGTTAAACATAAAAAGGGCTGGGGGTATAGCTCAGTACGAGGCTCTGGATTCAATCCTGAGTGCAACCAAAAAAAAAAAAAAAGTTCACTCTTCTTTGTAGGAGCATGGTTCTACTACCTACTTTAAAATATCAGTCTAATAATTCCAACATCCATGTTATCTCGGGGTTGGCACCTGTTGACTGCTTCCTCTTGCAACTCCACGAGCTTTTCCTGGCTCTTCATATGCTGAGACAGCAAGGATGGTAAGACTAGATCTTCTTCAAACTCTGAAGAATGCTAACATTTTTGTTTTAGCAGGCATTGTTGCAGGTTGGCTTTTGCCTGCTGATCAGGAGGCAAGAGAACAGGCAGTAAAAGAAAACAATCCAGATTCCCTCATGCCCATGGTCAGACATTTAGAACCCCATGTTGCCATTGCTGTTGCTTTTTCTACAGCACAGGCTGGCCTCATGTCTAGGATGAGAGTGAGCAGAAAAAGGAAGGAGGAAAAAACCCCAGGGGAACTCCCCTATTCTCTATCCTGAGGAGTCTCATTTCCTGTCCCCCAAACTAGAAAGAGAAAGCTTCTTTAATTTGTGATGTAGTTCTAGATCTCAGACTCCCACTGAATCTGTATCAGAAATAAAATCAATAGGAGATTCGCCACTAGCTGGGTGGCCTTCAAGTTTCTTAATTCATGAGGTAGGATTTACTCTCCAAAGTCCTTAGGGAGCCACCGAGAACACTTGGTACAAGGATGTTAGCTCCTTTCAGCAGGAGGGACAGGTTGGCTGTGCTTACTCCATCTTACCCAGGACTGGAACAGCAGGGGCTCATAACTCTACTGCACAACCAGGGTGGAGAACAACCTCGTACATGTATGTGGACACTATTCAGCAAGGAGTGGCAAACCAACTTATTCTGTATAGGGCTGAGTGGTAAACATTTTAGGCTCGGACTGTTCATGGCAGCCTCTCAATGTATTGAACTCTGCCACTGTTGTGTGAAAATAGCCATATACAAGACATACGTGAGCAGGCAGGGCTAACTTACAATACAAGTTTATGTAATAAAACAGCTGTCAGGCTGTATTTGGCTTACAGACCATGGTTTTGGGAATCCTGTACCATATCACAAATAATAAGACTGGTTAAAGGTAAAGTTTACTTTGGGGCTTTTCTTCCATCATTGGATGGCAAAATTCTTCAAATAATTGGAAAAATTCTTGCTTTTTTCTTCCACTGCTAGCCTCATGACAGTCAAGAACTATACCATATGTTATAACTTTGATTCAGTTATGTTCTTTGATTTGAAACATCCACCAGCTAAAATAAAAACTTAAAAACTGAAATTTCCAGATTTGAGCAACTTTATATACAATTAAAAGCTCTCCAGTTAACCTTTGAAATAAAAATCCTTAGTCACAATTTTCTTTCTTTCTTTCTTTCTTTCTTTCTTTCTTTCTTTCTTTCTTTTTTTTTCTCTTTGAGAGAGGGTCTCAACTGTGAAGTTCAGGCTGGTCTTGAACTCACTTTGTAGCCCAGGCTGGCCTCGAACTCACAGCTATCCTCCTGCCTCAGCCTCCCAAGTGCTAGGATTACGGGCGTGCGCCACCACACCTGGCAGTCACAATTTTCCTGAGGTTATGTTAAAGCAGAAGAGGTCATTTTTTAAAAAAAAGAAGTCCCAACTTGTTTTTCCAGAACCTTCCAAACTGGAGGTGTGGCGAGGTCATTATTTTTTTCACTCACCTGGTTTCCTGCCACAGAGGTAGAATGCCAGTCTGTCAGTCAGCTCATACTGTATTTCTACAAGGCGTTCTGCCAGCTCATAGTGCCCTCCTTGCCTACCGAGAGAACAAAGTAGCATTGATACTGCTCACTGTTCACAGGCTTTAGAGTAGAAAAGTACAAAGACATCCCCTGAGACACCTGAGCAGTGTATCAAATATGTTTTTTTAGAATAATAATCAACCTTTCTGAGTGAGGCAGATTGTCAAGATCTGCCTTGAGTTTCACCTTTATAAACTGTTTTCACCATCTGAATTATCCCCTTTCCTTATAAACACACAGAATAGAGTAACTTCATAATTTCATAAGATATTCACAGACTTGTGAAGGATAAAGAGTAACTTTATTTAACAAGGTGAGAAAATAAAATGTAGGTAGAGGATCACAGCAGTTAACGAGGACGTTTCCAGAAACATACAACCTGCAGGCCTCAGTCAGTAAGGATGGGGTGGGCCCAGGCATCAGTATTTTGAAGAAGGCCCTTCCTCTAGAAGATTCTGGTGCAGCCAGGCTGCCTCTGGGTAAGTTTGGAAACTACAGAACTTCAAGGGTCTCAATTCACAGACAGACCAACCTAATGCAGAGCTCAGGCCTTCAGATGTTTTTTGTTCTTTTCTGGGGAGGGGAGGTTTTTTTGGTTTTTGAAGACAGCATCTGGCTATGTAGTTCAGACTGGCCTTGAACTCACTATGTAACCCAGGCTGGCCTTGAACTCCCAGAGATCCTCCTGCTTCAGCCTCCTGGGATTACAGCCATGAGCCATGCGCAACCACACTTTATCCTGCTTCCTGTCTTTATCTTCCATTTCTACAGCAAAAATATAAAGCTTGCCTTTCTTCATTCATGAAATAAATATTTAAGCTACTTGGAGTCCTTTTAGTAACAAGGCATATAGAGAAATGATTATGTGGAGAGACTATTATATGTAAAGTACATATGAGGAAATTCCAAAGTAAATGATAAAGTGTTTACTTTGGGCTGTTCTTCTCTTCAAAGGTCAAATCCAGTTTCAGCCAGCTTCTCTTCCCACCATTCAAGGCACTACAGATTACCCACCAATCACCACAGATCTTTGATTTTTAACATGCACATCTTTTTAAAACATCTGTGAAATCGTAATTGATGGCACATCATAATTTAACTGACAGAGCTTTTCTAATGCTGTAGGAAATACATCAGATGCAGATCTGATGGAATACTGGATTCCTGTTGTCATTCTCAGGCATGCTCAGCTCTCTCCAATCCGATTTCCTGCTGTGCGGAACTAAATGTCCATACCAACCTCCTGACCTTGACTGCCTTTCCTCTCACCTGGAATAATTTAGTTCCTCCTTGACAGGCCCACATCTAACCTATTCTTCAAAGAACTAAAGAAATTTCGCAGTGATTTGGTCACAACAAAGAAACTTTACCGTGTGTTCTTTAAGACCAACTATCTGTTTTGAATCACATGTTATCTTGCCCCATTTAACCTTTTCAGGCATATATGAGTCATTTCTTCTAAGAGATAAATTCTGGGAAGACAGAGTTTTGTCATTTCACCCATTTTAAACTATGTGCAGCAGAGCATGGGGTTCTGCAGTAAATAAAAAGATATTTAGGAAAAAAAGGAAAGATGATTGGTCTCCTGTCGCTGAGTGATATTCAAGACTAACCTATGGGTTTACTTATTTTTCCAGGATTTTTTATGGTTAGAACTTTCAAATAAATAAAATTTTAGCTGGGCATGGTGGCTCATGCCAGTAACCTTAGCTTCTCAGAGGCTGAGGCAGGAAGACTGCCTCAGTCAGAGACTTGGAGATTAGCTGGGGCAACATAGTAAGACCTCATCTCAAAAAATAAACCACAAACATATACAAAAGGAAAAATTTTAAAAATTGTACAAAGAGCATCCAGATGTCCACTATCTAAAATTTACAATTAACAAATTACTACACTTGTTTAATTATCTATTTATAGACTTGCTTTTAAGTTCAAGCAATGACTAAGAGTATTATAAAACTGAAGAGTGGGTTCTGTAATTCTTGATACTTGATTTGTACTGTGACTATGTCTCAAATACCTGTGTTATACCAAGTGAAAGCTCCTTTGGAAGCTAAGTACACTAGTTTATAATTCTACTTTTCTCTAAGTTTTACTAGGCTGAGCTTATATGCATTTGAAATGTATTCATCTGCAAAATAATAGAACATGCATGCCTGAAATCCCAGTACTTGGGAGGCTGAGGCAGGAGGACGGCTGTGAGTTCAGAGGCCAGCCTGAACTGCTGTGAGACTTTGTCTCAAAAAGAATGTAAATCTTAAAAACAGTAAAGCACTACCCACACACAATTTAGCAACCTACCAACAACTTATACCCAACACATACAGAAAAGGGGCAAGTATCTCAGACTCTTACCTTGCATAGTCAACAGGAGTTTTCCCACTAGAATCTTGTGTGCCTGGGTCTGCTCCATATACTGCCAATAATTCTGCCTGTAAAATCTGCCCTGCTTTGGAGGCAACATGGAGTGGTGTGTTTCCTTTTTCCTAAGAAGCATTTATAAAAAGTAAACAAAAAGCAAATTAAATAAACTAAAGGCTACAAGAACACAACTCAGTGTCAACTCAATATCTGAATCAAATCACATTTTCTTACGGGATGAAAGAAGTTGGCTTGGGCTCCTAAAGATAACAGTCTCAGACAGGTTTCAAGATTCCCTGTTCTCACGCTTGAATGGAGTTGCTGAAAAAGACACAAATAAATAAATAAATAAAAGAACATTTGTTGAAAACATTGGGAATGATGTACTACAGCAGCTGATAGCCTATTTTAATATACGCTACATTAGTAACATATAATCTTTATTTAGTTCTGTTGGGTAGATGGAGAAGTCTCATCGTTTCATGGGGTGGGCCAGGCCCATTTTGCTGACAAGGAAACTAAGATTGTGAAGAATGACCAGCGTGTGAGTGTCACAACCAGAACCTGAGAGGTAGTACAAGGCAGTGGCGCAAGGCTCTGAAATCTGATGGACCTGAATTTCAAACCCTACCTTTTCCCTTCAAGCTGTGTGACTTTGGGACAGTACTTTAAGTAAGCTGAACCTCAGTTTCCTCATCTCTAAAATGATAATAATGCTACCTATTGCCAAGGTTATTGTCAGGATTTAATGATATAATTAAGTACCTGGCACTGAACCCAGTATATAGGAAATGCTCAGATAATTTAGATGCTGTTACAATAACTGTTATTACTTATTATCATTGTTATTGAATCTACAGCTTCAAATTCTACACTGCTTAAGATACAGGACTCTGTCTTATACCTTACTCTCTCTACAGCATCATTTCTAGCCTAGCCACAATGGTTTCCTGAAGTCTCCTAGGGTGGGAATCAGGCCTGTGGGACACCAAGCTCTGTACTACTGCAGAAAAGCTCAAACATACAGAAGATGAGCTGCCTTCCTTCCAGTCTAACCTGGACTTGCCTGAGATGCGCTATCACAGGAATGGAGATATCTACTCTATCATCTACATTCAAATCTTATTTTTAAAAAACTTGGTTTAAAAAAAAGAAAACCACATAGGGCTCATTTGTGAGTGGAAGTAACAATTTTATACACATTTCTATGCGAAGTTTAGCACTCTGAATCGTAAGGACCAGGCTCTATGTGAGAGTATGTCAAAACGAGTGCTCTGAAAATATGGGCATTTCTTGTAGCACCTCAAGAACATGTTAAGGCCCATGTAAAGGAAATCATCTACTCATTTTACATGTATAATAAACCTGTGTACTAAAACTCTGCATCACACCCTACTTTCTTTTTCTTTTTTCTTTTTTTTTTTGAGACAGGGTCTCCTTGTACAGTTCAGGCTGGCCTTGAGCTCACTTTGTAGCCCAGGCTGGTCTCGAACTCACAATGATCCTCCAGCTTCAGCCTTCCAGGTGCTGGGATTACAGGCGTGCGCCACCATGCCTGGCAACATCCTTCTTTCTGAAGATCCTTCTTACTATGCAACTTGAAAGCTGTCTTTATTAGAAACAACTGTCCTGCAAACTTTCTAGTCCTTTCTAGGAACGTACTCTGAGACAGTGCTTATTCCAAAGCTAAACCAACAAAAACACTTACTGAAATATACTTTAAAGACATACTGAAAAAATAAAAATAGTTTTCTAGCTACGTATGTTTTCCCTCTGCCCTTGGACCTCACTAGGATAAATGGATGCCATCTGAATTACAATTAAAGATGAAACTGGCTGTAAAAGGTGTCACTGATAACTTAATGAATGAAAATGAGTTTCTTCTTCCTTTTTTGTCTTGTTTTTGTGGTGCTAAGGATCAAACCCAGGGCCTCACACATGTGAGGCAATCGGTCTACCACTCAGCCAAACTGCCAGCCTTTGTTTTTCTTTTTTTAAAAAATGTTTTTTACATGAAACAATACACTGTCTCATCCAACCCTTACGGATTTGAAAAAGTATGACCCACCTTGCTAAGATCTTTGGCAGTGACACTATCATCATCCCGGCAGGGCAAGCGATGGACAAATGCTAACATCTGATACTTGGCTCTGATGAATTCTGCTTTAGTGGGACTGGTCGAAAACAAAACAAAAAAAAATAGTTCACTTGCAGTTCAGACAGGACACTCCCCATTCTTTGGACTGTAAAAAAGAAGAGGAAGTGACCCACATCCCCCACTTGAGAATAAAACGAACAATGCTGAAATAAGTTTCAGCAGTGTTCAAGACCTGAAGTCTGAAAACATACTTTAGTCATTATAAATGGCTAGGACTGCAAAAATCTAATTTTTACAGCATCTTTCTCCTCTGTGTAATTTTCTTAATTGACTACAACCTTGGGAGGAGGCAGCATTTAGTCCATCTTATAGGCGAGGCATTAAGCAGACTGGTACCCAGAACTTAGATTTCTGGTCTGACAGCCTCTTGCTTGAGTGCCTGAGTTTAAATCTGATTACATCTACAGCCTCCAAGCCTCAGTCTCTAACTGGAGAAATCATTAACTCCTATCTGGAGGCCATGCAAAAGAAATGATCCTGCCTGCCTCATGCTGAATTTCTACCAGCAAAGAGCCCAGTGCACAACTGGGGCAGCCACCTCCTGCACTGCCTTGTGGAGGCTGATCAAAAATAGCTGCACTCCTCCTAGGAGAGTCCCATCTGTCACAAAGAAATAGAAGTATTTATAAACATTCCACTCACTGTACTTTATCCTGTGGATTAGCTTTTCGTCTTCCACTCATAATAGATGCAGGGTCCAGCAGAGAATGCTCCCATATAGAATTAGCACCATTGTTATACAAGGTCTCAACCATCTAAAATCAAGCAGTATGAAATCACATTTTAATTTCTTTCCACAAATAGTGACAGAATTAGGAAAACAAAGCCTATTACAAATACCAACATGATTGGGATTTCACTCATTGTTTTCTGGTTTTAGAGTAAGACAGATGAAACAAAAACAAAAAAAAAAATAAAAAAAAAGAAGCAATAGGGGCTGGGGATTTAGCTCAGCGGCAAAGCGCCTGCCTGGCAAGCGCAAGGTCGTGAGTTCGGTTCCCGGTACCGGAGAAAAACCAAAAAACAAAAACAAAAAAAAAAATAGAGTAAGACAGATGAACCTGTATGCAAAATTCAGCTTTGGTGGGAAAGACAGCTAAATCTCTAAGTAGATTTGATTGTTATATACTTACATACTGAAGACTAATTTTGACACTGGGTTGATTGTTATATATACTTAATTTTTGGTTGTTATACATTTTTTATAGTTAGATATTGAAGGAAAATTCATTTTAACATTTTAGCACAGTATTTTTCAACACTGAACAAATACTATTTTACTCACCTATGTTATTTGCTTAGTATTTTTCTTTAAATCTACCCATTAAAAAAACTTTTATTAACAATTATGGTCTCATATGCTAGTTATAGTTTTCTTATACACATTAAAATAACTGCCAGGAGTAGTGCTGCACAACTATAATCCCAGCACTTGGGAGGCTGAGGCAGGAGGATCGTTGGGAGTTTAAGGCCAGCCTGGGGTACAAAGTGAGCTCAAGGCCAGCCTGAACTGCATAGTGAGACCCTGTCCCAAAAAGACAAAATAAATAAATAAATAACATGATCATTAAAATAATTATTTGAGTATTTCCTACATATGTCTTAAGTACCACCGGTGGCTTATGGTCCATACTTTGGGAATTACTGCTTTAGGATCAACCCTTGCATTGTAAAACTACTCATCTCTGGACTTAACTCAGATTCTATAATATAGTCTGGCTTCATAAACACAGACCTCACAGTAGTACCCACCCCGTTTCACATGACAGTGAGCTAATGGAAACTTCCAAGCAAATGATTTCAACGAGCCACATCTCTCAATTTCATTTAAAATCTCAACTCCTAAGTGGGTACAGTAGATCATGTTTGCAATTCCAGCACTCTGGAAGGCTAAGGCAGGAAGACTACAAATTTGCGCCCCAGCTTGGGCAACTCAATAACTTAGTGAGACCCTGGTTTCAAAAACATAGAAAGGGTTGGGGCTGTAGCTAAATGCAAAGGCTCTGGGTTCAATGTCCAGTACCCCCACCACCACACACACACACAAAGCAGGACTCCTAAAACGGCCCCATCTGCTTTTGATAATCTCAGAGATACTTTCATAGCAGAGACCCAAATCCACTTGTTTTTGGCCCCTTCGTTCATTCAGACAAGTTTAAGGGACACGCTATCCAGCTGCCACAGGTTTAGTGAAGTGTATACTCAAGACAAATGAAGGAAAGTAAAACACACACTTAATCCTGCATTTCAAGAGAACTTGAAGACTGTGTACCCTAAATAGTACAAGCAACATGACATCGAACCCCAAATAAGACAAAGAGCCTGTTTAACACTTAATAGAGTGTGGGGCATGCAATCAAATATATTAATCTGATTTCTGATTAACAGTCAGGCGTTTTTTATTGTGCTTCTGCAGTACTGGGGACTGAACAGATGGAATCATGCATGCAGTGCAAGCAGTCTATCACTGAGCTACATCCTGAGCCATCTTCATTTTGAGATAAGGTCCCATCACGTTGCCCAGGCTGGGGTTGAACTTACTATTGCATCGGCCTTCTGAACAAAGTGGAATTACATGTGTGTTCCACTGCACCCAATTTAACTAGAGTTTGGTCTGGGGATATAGCTCAGCAGCACAGTACCTGCCTGGCAAGTGCAAGGTCCTGAGTTCGAGTCCTGGTACAAAAAAATAAAAGAGAATATAGCAATTTAACTAGAGTTTAAACACAACTTAAACTAGGTGTTTCTGAAATATCTGAGGAATTCCAGGCTATGCTTCTAGTAAAGTGGGAAAAAAAATGTTCTTAAAATATTAGCAGGTACTCAGGAATAAGTACATCAATGAAAAATTTCTTAGGCATTAATTGTTGGAAACATACATTATAATATGTGAAAAAGATAAACTACTAGCAACTTCTAGTGATAATCTAGAAAGTCAGCAGTGAAACAATATTAACAAATTTTAAATATACTTGAACTTGTAAGACAGCATTTATGTTAGAAAAGAAAACAAAATCTTTTTTCCCCCCAGAGAGGGCCTCACTGTGTAGTTCTGGCTGGCCTTCAACTCACTATGGAGCCCTGGCTGGCCTCAGACTTACAGCAATTCTCCTGACCCAGCCTCCCTAGTGCAGGAATTACAGGAGTTTGTTGCCATGCCCGTCGAGAAGAAAATCTTAAATGATTAATTCAATACAGGATAATACATGTACTTATATGCAGAAATGATGGGCACAGTATCTCTATTCAATTATCACCTTTTTTATAAGATTTAAGAAGTATACCAGAAAAATTTTATTGGCTAAAACAAAAAGCCATAAAACATAAATCATAAACTGTGAGAATTCTTATTCTTTACCTGAAGAAGTGTTGGAGGCCACGGTGTATGTTTAAGATGCCTTACTTGGGAGATATGACGCCCTAGACTCCGATGGACACTGCAACACTCGTCACATATAAAAGTTCCCCTATTTACTGATGCCCAGGAAGGATCTGGAAAGAGAAGGAAATCTCAGTGGAGAGGACAGCAGCTGGTTGCTCCACCATAGGATAGAAAAAATGACTGAGTTTGGTTTTTCAGAAACACAGGACATTTTTGCTGTTTACTAAAACAATATACTAATGCTTATCAATGTATCAGGTTAGTGAGGGTCTATGATGACCCTGCTACCTTGGCTGATTAAATACAATGTTAACTGAGATGAACAACCCTAAATAAATGCTTCTCTTGATCTCTGTAGCCTTAATGTGGATCCACCACCTCAGATGCTCATTTATTCAATGTAAGAGGAACAAAACTGAGAGAACAAACAAATCATGTCAAATCCATCTCCACAAACAGAGATAACCTAATTGTGATAGTGAATTAGTCACACAGCAGTATCCGAAGTAAATAAAATTATGGCTATCTGGGGCTGGGGATTTAGCTCAGCGGCAAAAGCGCCTGCCTGGCAAGCGCAAGGTCATGAGTTCGGTTCCTGGTACCGGAGAAAAACCAAAAAAAAAAAATTATGGCTGTCCTAATAGCTACAAATCAATATGTCAGTATGGGATATGCTTTAAATATGAAGTGTCCCCTAAAGAGGTAGAGCCTAGAAAAGGGACTGGACTGTAAGGACTTTAACTTCATTGGTGCACTAATCCACTAATGACATCGTAACTTGGAGACATTATTTCCGAGGTGATGGAAACAGACAGCAGGGCCGTGTTGAAGGGAGTGGGTCATCGGGGGTATGACTTTGGGGGCTATATCTGGTCCCCAGTCCCTTCTGCTCTGGCTCTTCCCTGTGTGCTTCCTGGCTGCCATGAGGTGAGCTTTCCTCCATCATACCTTTCCACTATGATGTTTTGGCTTACCCATGGGGCTGACTCACCAGGGACTGAAACCTCTGACATCACAGCCAAGATAAACTTTTCCTCCTTCAAATCCTTATCTCAGGTATTTTGTCACAGCAACAGAAATTGGACTAACATAATATTCTAACACAAAGCTGTGAGAGACAGAACTCAGCAGTTATAGTTCCAAGGGCAGAAAAATCTGGCTTCCTCCACTAGGAGACGATCTATGATATCCATTGGTTGCGTTAAACAAACTATAGTAGAGTTTAACCTTGCAAATGATATGAAAGCAAAGTTGCTTTACAGAGGCAAAAATGTAAACTAGAAGTGAGTAGTGTTTTTGGTGTGTGTATAACTCTTTTCCTCTGAAATCCTACAGAGCTTCATTAGACATTCATTCAAACAAGGAGTAATGCACACTTGGTAAGCAAGGATAGATCTGGGTAAGTAAATTGAGCACTGAGAAACTCCAAACAAAGACAGATCTTCTCTATTTCACCAGCCTCACAGTGGGGTGATAACAGGTGTCACTTGAGCTGCCTGGTCTAAGGACTGTATTTTAAATTCTTTAATGTCCGCAAAAATCTCTAAAATGCAAGTACATCATCTTTACCATTTTTGACAGGTTATCAAACCTTTCAAGCCATATAGTGAAGTTACAGGATTTCAATCCAAGACAAATCTTAGGAGCCAGAGAATGTGGTGGTTATGAGAATTGGCTCTAGAGACAAGCAATCCATGGTTTGAACCCCAACTCTGCCACTTTTTAAACAAGGATCTCAGGCAAGTTAGTCTGAGTATCCTCACCATGGGTCAAAGGCAAACAATAATACCTCTGAGCAGAGTGAGGACGCAGAATAAGTAAAACAGCTCTCATTCAGTAAGTATTCAACCATGCCAGCTGTACATCTTTTCTAAATATCATTTTGTTATTTTCAAGAGCCCACTAAAATTCATAACCACTTGCAAGTTTTTTTATTGGAAATACAGTACTTAAAACAGTGAACATTTCACATGAATAGTATATGACTGTATTAGTATCTCACTGGAGTTTTCAGATGATTGAACGTAAGAGTACAGCGTATTTAAAATGAACTAGATTCATTAAAAACAAATAAAATAACAAGTAAAACAAGATCAAAGTTAAATATTTGCCATGAAGTAAAATAGAACCAAAGTATAACAGAAGCGGTGAGGTATAACTTTGCCAGTATTAGTACGCCATTCTAAGGATCAAAGATGGGAAATATCAAGATGAAGGATCCTTACAAAGGTGCATCACAATATTGTTTTCTGCTTTTACTACTATTAATGACCAAAAATAAACTGACAAATAAAACAACCATGAGGGCTGGGGATTTAGCTCAGCGGCACAGCATTTGCCTGGCAAGCCCAACGTTGCGAGTTCGATTCCTGGTACCGGAAACAAACAAACCAACAAAATCTCTCTCAAACAACCATAGATTGCTTGTCTCTAGAGCCAGTTCTCACAACCAAAAACCAAAGCACAGCTCTGGTTTTGGTTTTTAATATATCATGAAAAGGATTCATAGTATTGGAGGAAATTAAACAGGAGCAAGACAAGCAAGGGTTGAATACACATTAAGCAAGGTTCTCAATCACTTAAACACCATGTATCAGAATCCCACAGAAAGAATATTAACAACATAAAAAAACCAACATTAAGTTTGAACAAGGTTGGGTGAAAGCCTTCCAGTTTAACTGGATGCTTTATGCCAGGGTTTCTTAGATTCTATGGATACCACAAATGGACTTCAAAAATCTCTACTTCTCTCCACTTCTCTTTTTCTGAGGAGAAAGTCTTAGCATTCATCAGATTCTCAAAGTGGTCCCTAACTGTATAGTAACGCTTTCATGAGGACTTTGTAGAAAACGCTACACAAACTCTAGCTGCTCAAATTCACAGAACATGTTAAGGTAGCCTCATTATATTTAAAACAGGAAGGAAGTGACTCAAGTCTCTGCAGATGAGGCATTCAAGACAACTAACATGATACACTGGAAGAAAAAATTTTCTCAAACGCACAAAACTGCAAAAGTGTGAGATAGCTGGATGTGGTGGTGTGCGCCTGTAATCCCAGCACTTGGGAAACTGAGGTAGGAAAATTGCTGTGAGTTTGAGGCCAGCTTGGGCTACAGAGCAACACCCTGTCTCAAAATAAAAAAGAAAAAAAAAAAAAGAAAAGAAAAGTGCAAGATAATATTTAGGATGGCAAAAAAAAAAAAAAAAATTTAGGATGGCAAAGGAGATGCAATCTGCCTTTGCCCCATGTTATCCACCACGTAAAGTATATGTATCCCAAGAGAAAGTATGAAGGGAAATGCATGTGAATCAAACACATCACAGACAAGTTCAACTGAAAACAGGCAAGAAAAAAAAAACGTGGAGCAAATAACATTTTCAGAGAAAACAACAGTCTGTATAATATCGGTTTATAAAACACAAAGGAAACTAATAACATTACTTGTACTACTCTGGCCATGAAATAACCACACAAGGGTTATCACAGTACTATTTAAAATCTCTGCTTCCAAATGACAAAATGAAGATTTAACCAGTTGCAAAGCCACTGGTGTTCAATGACTCACGTAAGATAGTTTATTGGACACGGTTGTCCCAAGAAAGCCATCAGATATCTGAATCAGTTTAAACTCAAAGCTGTTAAATTAGAAAACAGTGCATATCAATTCAGTTCCGATTGCTAAAATAGATGTAATGTTTAAGTCTGAACATTACGCACAGTAAGAATGGTTCTGGCTTTTCAATGTCCCTGTGCGCTTACACTGCCACTAACTTTGTGTGTATTTGCTTGCTAAAACTGCAACTTAGAAACTCTGGTTTTAAGGGAATGTCCGGGTTCGGAACTGAATGACATAAGTTAAAAAAGAAAAAAAAACTTAGAAAATCCTAACAATATCCATTCAACTTCCCTAATCACCGAAAATGGTACTCCCGATTATCCTTACTGAAAAAAAAAAAATGAGGAAATCAAAGCTCGACCACGGGAAGTCACCAGCCCAAGGTCACTGAGAGGCAACATCTAGTGTGAACCTAGGTCCTCTGGATCCCCAAACTTGAGACACGCACTGATTCCTAAATGCCGACTGTGTCTGCAACACCCCAACTCGGAGATTCCACCGGCCCCCCGGCCCCCGCAAGTGGCTGCCGGGATGTCAGGAGTGGGAGAGTCCTTCACCGGCACCCCCTGGCAAGTCTCCAGGAGGAAAGCCGGGAGTGCAGCCCACCCAGGAGAGGTCCCCTCGCAGAGACAGGGGTTCGGTGAAGGCTGACACCTGCAGCCTCTGGCAGCCGCAGCCAGGAGGACGCTAGCATTTTACTTCTGTAATTGGCCTTCCTGTGGGTTGCCCAAGCCCCTTCCTGTCTAGGGAGCGGCTCGGGCCCCGCCACCTCGCTGACGGGCCTGAGACGGAGGGAAGAGGGAACGAAATGCATGAGAGGGCGGCGGCCCCCTCCCCTTCTGGCTGCCAGGCCCGGGACGGGTCTCGCCTCAAGGCAGTCCCAGGCACCCCTCTGCTAGAACGCGTTCGCTACGCGCGGCTGGGTCGCGAGAACCCGCCTGTCCCAAGGGGGCAGCCCCGGGGCAGGGGTCCCGTCCAGGAGCAGAGGGGAGCGGGCCCGGCAATGCAACTCACCCGGCCCGCTGCAGTCAGCACACACATCGCTGCTCCGGAGCCGCTTCGACATGGCTCCCGCCTTCACCTGCCGGGGACCAGGAGCCCCGGGAAAGCGAAGGCGGCGGCGGCGCTTCCGCTCTAACGGGTCCCTGCGAAAGAGCTGGCAGAAGAGCCTCTCCCCTCAGCGCCTCGAAGCCGCTGCGCAGCACGCACGCGCAGGGAGGTGTCCTGCTGCGACTGGCAGATCATGTGACCGGAAAGGGCAAGCTTCCCTGTGGCCATCTTAAGTAAGGGCAGATGCCTGCCCCCGCTTACTATTCTGTCCCTAAATCCTCTTGTTTTTAGGTCTCCTTTTCTGGAAGAGATCTGCCTCATCCTAGCACTGATTAATACCAGAGGAAGCCGCAAAATTTTGCACTCACCACCTCCCTGAGGCGAACAATGATTAAATAAAGTTCGTACATTCCTCTATCCAAAAAATAGTTATTGAACATCTACTGTTCCACACACTGTTCCAGGCTCTGAAGAAACTGCAGTGAGCAAAGAAGACATTTCCAGTTCTTATGGAACTTATAGTTTACCGAGGGTAGATCTATAATAAAATAAGTAAAATGAGACTATAGGAGATGATCAATTCTTTAAACTGCAGTTTCAACCTTACCTTCAAAATGGAGATAATGTATTATTTGTTAATAGTCTGATTTGTATGGCCTTTTACTTAACAATTACTATTTTTTAAAAAAGAAGAGGGCCCGGGGATATAACTCAGCAGCATAAGTGCCTGCCTGGCAAGTGCAAGGTCCTGATTTGATTCCCAGTACCAGAAAAAAAACAAAAACAAAAACAAAGCAAAAAAAAAAAAAAAAGACTTGTTTAAAAAAAAAAGAAGAGAAGAGGAAAAGAAAGAAAAAGTGGAATAAGAATATGTAACAAAAAAAAAAAAATTTAGGATGGCAAAGGAGAT